TCGAGCCCCAGTTTCCTCTTCTGATGATGGTTGTAAGGTGCTTACTCAGGGCAGGCTCTGGCCTCCATTCAGATTCCCTCCTCAATCACTTACAGCAAGATATAAGGTACAATGGGGAAACTGAGGCTCAAGGAAGCCAGGCAATTCACACCACGTCACACAGCAAGCAAAATATAGACAAGGCTCCAGCTGGGGCAGCCCGACACCTGTACCAGCAATGAAGTAGATAGCAACACCCCAGATACTATGAAATAGTCTGCCCAGGGTGGGGAGGCATAGAGGAAGATGTTTGAACAACTAGGGACCTTGCAGCCATTTAAAACAGTGAGGCCAGGGAGAGAAAGCTACTGGGTCCATCCTGGAAGACTTCCTGGAGGAGACAGGAACAAGACCACACTTTGGCTTGTCACAGGTCCGGCACTGGGCAATGTACCTGAGAGGGCAAGGTGGCTGTCCCCAATGTCACAGGGGCCACAGCAGGCTGCCCCCCAGCCAGGCACAGCACTAAGCATTCTATATAACCCCATGGCCTCCCAGGAACCCTAAGAGCTCTGCAGGGCAGCGCCCATCAGTTAGCAGAGCCCCATTCCACCTGAGGAAGCCAGGCTTTGGTGGGCCCACCTCAGACCCAGCAGCTGAAGCAAGAGCCAGGATGGGACCCAGGCAGATGCTGTCAGTGCCTTGGCTCCTTCGCCCGAGCTGCCGCTGCAGCCGGGTCAACGCAGCACTTTTCCTGGCAAGGCTGTTCTAACTGGAGTGAAATCAGGGGAAGGAAGCAAAGTCTCAATTCCCCAGGCCCAGGCCTGCAGGTGCCAAAGAAATGCTGCCCGGATAGAACCTCGTCCTGCTCCAAAGGATTGGTATCTGCTGCCCCCTGCTGGCCAAGAGGAGAACTTCCCAGGAACCCACGGGTCTGTCTCAGAGCTTGGGTTTCCGCAGCCACTGCCCAGGCTATTTTTGTCCTTATTGACAGTTGTGACTATTGTGGGGTGTGTGATGTGTGAATAATGCACACAGTGTGCAGAGAGTCCATCCAATTAAATATTCATCACACCACAGATATTAAGCACAAACCTAAGTAAGCTGTCCTCTCCCTCCCTGCTGCCAGGCCACGGGCCCCAGCAGCCCAGTCCCAATGCCACTACACCCACCTCTTCTGAACCCGCATCCCTCTGAGCCTCTTCTGCATGTGTAAAGATGACAGCACTGGATGCTGAGAGGTCCCTTCTAGATCTAGCAATCTCTGCGTCTCTGGAAGGACCTGCCGCTGCCCTCGGTGAGGAAGCCAGGCCAATGCACACCAGGAGGTAGAGTGGAGTGACTGGGTGTCACAGGTGGACCCCAGGGCTGCAGCAGAGCCAGACCTAGGCCTGGGGGGACCAGAGGAGGCTGGAACAGGGCAGGCAGTGAGGAGGCTATGGGAGAGGGTGGAGGATGGGGTCCCAGGGATAGGAGAGCCTCTTGCAGGGAGGAAACCCCACAGGGAGGGGGTCCCTGGGCCCTGCCACTACTTCTGTCTGAAGCAGATTCAACTCCTGTAAAGAAAGCAAACACCTGCAGGGTAGCAAGCACTTCCTATTCTCCCACCAAGGTGAAGGGCTCTGCACTGTTGAAAGTAGCAGAATGCCTCAGATGTCAACAGTTTCCCAGCAACAAGGACAAGCTGAATGCACAAGACAAGCCCTGGCAGAAAAGGTGCTTCCTGCCCAAGCTCCTGCTGGGTGGGGGAGGCCAGGCCAGAAGGTGCAGCTGCTGTGCTGGTCCAATCCAGCCCCTGGGGACTGGGCTTGTCCATGACTACAGACTCTGTCAGAGTGAGATTGGGGAGGTCAGGGCATGCATACTCACTGATGAAACAAATGCTTTAAAAAAAATAAAAATAAAATAAAGTGAGGTTCGAACTCAGGGCCTTGCACTTGGCTTTTTGGCTTTGCCATTTGGTCCACATCTCCACTCTGGCTTTAGAGTCTTCTATCCAAGTTGGCTTTGCACCAAATCCTCCAGGTCTCAGCATCCTGATTAGCTAGGATTACAGGTGTAAGCCCTAGCACCAGTCTGTACAGATACCTCTTAGGGTTTGGTAGGGAATAGGTTCAGGCCTGAGGCCCAGGCCAGTTGGGGAGATTGAGTACATTAACTATTCCCTCACCCCCATCCTAAGGTTGAGAAACTGAAAATCAGTGGAAGAACCATTCAAGATCACGCAGCCACATCAGACCCTGCTGTACTTGAACCCACAGCCCTGTGTGTGGAAGGCAGCTTGTGGTATGGCTGGCATGGATGTGGTCGGGTCTGGAATCAACAGACTCAAGTCCTGTAGCAATAGCACTCAGATATCAAATACTAATGTGAAATGCAGACAATTGGGATTTCTTGTGGTGCACACGTGATTGCTTTTACCTCTCAAGGGGATGATAACCAAACCCCTACAAAGGTACTTTCTAGATGGCCCTGTGCCAGGCCTGTCTTGCGCTCCAGGCTGGCTCCATGTCTGTGCTAACATTTCTCAGTGAATGTCAACACGGGTCTCTCGTAAATGCCACGGCTTGTTAGCAGAGTAAACGGTGTGCTTAGCCTGTCTTAGGAGAATCTTTGCTGAGTAAACACAAGGAGGCTTTGCTTGAGAGTAAACAGAGCTGGAGCTGCTTGGCAGCCGGGGTGGGAAGGTGACTCCACCGCCAGACCAAAGGGAGGCCAGGTCTGGCCTGGCGCCATCTTGGGAACCCTGAATGCCAAGGGCAGGTCTGAGGCCACACAGCTTGCTCTAACAGAAAGTTTCTTTTCAACATGGATTTTCCCTGCCTGCCCACCTATCCTCCCTCAAAGCCCTCTCCCCTCTGGGGAGACTCTACAAGGTACAAAGGTGGACCCAGCAAGCATCTCACGTTCTAAAGTTTTAAGACATTTTTTTAAAGGCTAGAAGAGCTGCATATAGTCGTTCCTTCCTGTAATCTTAGCTACAAAGGAAGCTGATATCAGGATGATCCTGATTCTAGGCTGGACCAGGAAAAGTTCAAGAAACCCCATCTCTTGCCAATAAAAATCATGGTGACAAACCTGTCAGCCCATCTATATAGAAAACCTAAGTAGAACCATAGTCCAAGCCAGCCTGGGGGGGGACGGAGGGGCAACCACTAAAAAAATAGCAAAAAAAAAAAAAGCACTAAAAAAAATAAGAGGGGCCTAGGCCACAAGACTCTGGGTTCATCCCCTATGATCACCAAAAACAGAAAACAAAGGCTACAAGAAAAATGAAGCCCTATGATGGTAGGTCCAGAAATGACAGCAATCTCAGGCTGAAGGCCAAACAAGAGTCCAAGCCTCTAGTACCACAAAAACAAAATCTAAGCAACTAAGTCACAGAGCTATTGTTAGCAGAAAGGAGGGGTCCTATCTCAGTATACACTTATTCACAGGGCAACAGCACCTCCCTGGATTCTGATTAAAATGCGAGTGCTTTCGTTTCCTCGTGTGCAAAGCCCAGGGGGCAGCCACAGTAGCTCCCACTTTCAATCTAGACCAGAAGTTAATTTGGGAGTGGAAGGCCAAGTGTGCAATGCACATTAGAGGGCTGGGCTAATTCCCTGTGGGTTCTGTCTCAGCTGGGCAGAGGTGTCTTAGTAGTCATTCCCAAGGTTGGCCACTGTGGGACAATACCAAGCCACAATCCTCTTTAAGGCCTCATTCTAATTCCCTTCAAAATAACCTGTTCTGTGTGTGCCACTTAACCCAGGGCCTTGTACTCTTGCCTGGATTTCCCACTCAAGGCTGGTATTCTATCTCCCTTAACCCACTGCTCCACCTCCATATTTTTGCTAACTGGAAGCCTAATTTTCCTACCTGGCCTGGACTTGAACCAGGATCTTTCAGACCTGTTTGAGAAACCAGAATTGCAGGTGTGAGCCAACAGAGCCTTGTTTCCACCTTCTGCCTCTATCAATCAGTCTGTGCTTATAGGTATGTTGTCCGAGGGACCACCTAAAACTGGGTAAGATTTCCTCTAGGAGGGGTGCAAGTAGCAAGGTCAGAATAAAAAGGTGCAAACAGATCTTCCTCACTAGCTTCCCATTCTGGCCCAGCCATAACAATGACTACCAGTCATTGCCCTAAACCCTGTAGGATCTGCCAACAGACCAGCCCAGAAGAGGATTCCCCCTCCCCCCAGAAGGGGTAATCACCCCAAATTACCCACTTTGAGAACTATGGCTACACTCCCCTTTTTTCATTTTGGTGCCAGCTCTGGGGCTCAAACTCAGGGCTTGGATGCCATCCAGTCTCAGCAATTTTCCAACGCAGGCTAGCTCTGAACTGAGATCTCAAATCTCAGCCTTCTGATACTGTGACTCAGAACCACATGGCTGGGCCAAGGGGTACTATTCCCTATGGATTAGATAAAGGTGTGTGAGCCAGATACACTGCAATGAATGTTACCATTCACCCTCAACTTGCAGTAGAGGAAACCACTCTAGGCTGCTGCTTGTCACAGATGTCTAGCATTCTTGCTGGAGGTCCACCACTTTAGCCATTTCCTTAAAAAGCTAGGCCAGCATTAGTCTTGCTTACAGCAAAAGTTCTAGCTGACCATACTGCTTTGCACCAACTTACAATTAGTTCTTCTAGGTGCTCCTATCCACTGTCAATGTCCCCAGATACAATGCTCATGTTTCTAATAACCTACTTGTGAGGTACTCTAAAACTGCTAATTCCCCAAACACAGGGTTTGAATTTCAGCTGCACTACTGTAGCTGGCAGACCCAGCCTGAAAGAGCAAGCTTTCTGAAGCTGAGATCTACACTGTACAGATAAACCTTGTAACCAAAAAGGCACACAGCAGACCCAGAGGAAGCATCTGCTCTGACCTCCACCTGTGATGCACAGAAGGCACTTACTAGGTCAGACCTGTGGGGAACTTTCACCCTAGTGACCTTCAACTAAACACACATGCTCTGAAAAACTGTATAAGCATTGAGTGATATTAGCATTGCAATACACTCCCAAACTATGGCCAGAACAGCAGAGTCCAGCTTTTATTGAATAGTTGCAAAGAGGTTTAGTCAAAAAGACCGAAGCCCATGTCATCGTCAGACTCCTCCGATTCTTCCTTCTTTGCCTCCACTTTCTTCTCCTCAGCTGGGGCAGCGGCGGCGGCTGGGGCAGGACCTCCGGCTGGAGCAGCACCGGCAGCTGGTGCAGGGCCCCCAGCCCCTACATTGCAGATGAGGCTTCCGATGTTGACATTGGCCAAGGCCTGTAACACATGGGCCATAGGTGAAGATGCAGCCCATCCTGGTGTTGTTCTTTACAGAGCCTCCCCCAAGCACAAAGTGCCTCTTCCTCTCCAATCCAAGGACCAAATCCTAACATGCCAGTGCTGGAGATGCCTCCTAGGGTGCCTGCCAGGATGGCTTTCATCCTGTGCTGGTCAGGCTTAACCAATGAGAACAGCTTCACAGCCACTTTTCCTTGACAATTGAAAAGAAACAGCCCACAATAACTTGTTGGGTTGAAAATACAAGGTTCCTGGAAGACCCAGGACCCAGCATGAAGTTAGACGTTACTAGCTTCACTTGTCAGACAAACTAGCCTGTCCAAGGCAAGATGGCCAGTGTGAACTCTTGGGCAGAAACTTGTCTGTATTAGCTTTTCATTCAGAAAACGGCCAAAAGGAGCAATAAATTCTCCCCAAAGCCTATTAACGCCATAATGGGAGGGGGGTTGACATAACATGCCTAAAATTGTCTGGTTTAGGAGGAATGGAGAAAGGGATGAAAATGATCAAGTGCTCAACCCGACACGACTATCTGAGTCCTATTAGAGGACAGACAGTAATGGGACAATGTCCAAAACCAAATAAGGCACCAACCAGTGGCACCTCCTAACTACGACAGAGGAGGCGCAGGCGGCAGTCACACCCCATCCAAACTACAGTCGCCCCCTAATCACCTTACCTTTGCGAACAGGCCCGGCCAGAAAGGCTCCACATTCACCCCGGCTGCTTTGATGAGGGCGTTGATTTTATCCTCCTGCAGTAAACCCAGCAGAGAGCCACGATTAGCTCTCCAACAGCAGGCCACAGGGTGCAGTCACCCAGAACACGGACGTGGGACGGGACCCGGCCCGCCAGCTCCGGGCCTGAACCAGGTTGTTGCCCAGGACACGTACTTGGGCACGAGGCCTCACACGGGACTCGGCCGTGGGCCCGGACTGCCAGCTCAGTTGTCTGCGTGTCTATTTTAAGTGAGGGGCGCAGGGAGGGAGCGCCCGGGGCTCGAGCGCCTCCCTCCGACCCTAGCCGACCAGGGCCAAAAGTACCAGACGGAACGGGAGTCCTGGGTCGGGCGGGCGAGGAAGCGCCTCACACCTCGCGAGCCTCCTCACTTCCCGGGCCCGCACGCGCCCTCCCCGCCCGGCCTCCCCGCCCCGCCCGGCCTCCCCGCCTCAGCCCGGCCTCCCCGCCCCGCCCGGCCTCCCCGCCCGCACTCACCGTGACGGTGACCTCGTCGTCGTGCAGGATGAGAGCGGAGTAGATACAGGCGAGTTCCGAGACGGAAGCCATAGCGCGGACTGCCGGGCGCGGTGCTAGTCGCCGGAAGAAGTGAGGGCCTCACCCCAACGCGGCCTTAGCTCCCTCGGAAGGACCGAGCACCTTGGCGGCAGCTGAGGAAAGGGAAACACGCGCCTGCGCGCGCCCTCTTATACAAACACACGAGCCAATCGGAGCCCGCTACTGGCGGAAGAGGCGGAGCCAGGAACGACTAGTGACGCCTGCGCATTGGCGCTCCTCGCCGTGCGCGCGGGTTTCCCAGCGCTTCGGGGCTCGGGCTCCAGTGATTGGAGTGCGGGACGCCCGGATGATTACGTATTTCCGGGAAGTGGTTTCGCGGTTCGGCGGGGATACTCAGAGGTTCTTGGGACGGACGCCGCACGGTCGTCGGGCGATGACCGGGTCAGGTCCCGGCATCGACCTGGTCCCCTAAAGGGAGGCCCCCAGGTCTCCCAGGTAAATGTGCGAGTCAGGGGTCCAGTGACGTCAGACTGAACCCGGAACTGCATTGCACGCCCGGCGCCGTCCACCGGAAGGAGTAGTTGGGGAACTCGGAATCGACCTCGGCGCTTTCGTATGGTCTGGGGTTAGCGCCGGGCGCTGGAGTCCGAGCGCTCGAGGGTGTCGGGATGGAGAGCGAGGCGGGGCGCTGCATTCGTGGGTTGCCGTGTAGAGTTGAAACCCCTTCGTACACTGCTTTAAGTTAAAAAAAAAAAAAAAATCAGGCGGAAGCCGGTAGCTCCTGCCCGACGTTCTGGCTCCTCGGGAGGCTGCGATCGGGGCGTCGCCGCTCAAAACCAGCCCTTGAGCTTTCGTGCCCGAGGCTGGCGCCCCGCCGCCTGAGCCACAGCTCCGCTCTTTGGTGGTGCATTGCAGGTGAGAGTCCCACGGACTGCCTAGGAACGGCGATCCTTAGCGCTCAGCCTCCTGAGGACCTAGGATCACACGCGTGAGCCACGAGTGCCAGATTTTGCCAAGTTCCTTAGTCTGAATCAGCTGTATACCAGAGCTAATATCTCCTCCCCACCCCCCCCAAAAAAGATTAAACTATCATTTTGGTTAACGCCAAAAAAAAGTACTCTAAGGCTGTGACAACCACAGCTGTAAGCCCAGCACTCAGGAAGCTGCGGCAGAGTAAAGTGGTCAGCCTAGGCTGGGCTATTTCATTTAAATAAAATACAAGCAGATGTTACCCACTTAATATGACACTGCTTCCCATTTCTCTTTTCATTCATACCTTAAATAGTGAACTTGGTCACACTGCATTGTGCTCCATGCTGGGTATATAGGAGGGGCCACCACACAAACTATGTCTTAGTGACTTTTATTTGGGGGGGGGGGGCGCAGCTAAATGTCATTAGTGAATATATACATACAAATTTCTAAAAAACACCTTCTAAAACATTTTATCATTGGTCACTGACCTCTTTATTTTGAAACTTTACATTGTGAAAATATGTGTGTAAAGTGCATTCTTCAGCTAATCAATAGCTGCATTTGTTTTGTTTATAAAACCAAACCTGGAAAAGTCACAATAAAAAAAAAAAAGTGAGCTAGGTATATTCTTCCTTAATTACCCAAGACAGACACTTGGTTGAGTTAGTTTATAAGTATACAAGAAATATACAAAAAATCAATGTTATAAAAAACGTTCAGAGAGCAAAAAAGGAGGAGTGACTTCCTCTGGGATAATATTAAATACGGCAACGCATATAATACACAAAGGTTGAATCCTAGGTATCTTTGGAGCTGTGGAGGAAGCTTTGTTCTAGGCCAGTGTGTGACCTGGCTGAGGTCTGTCATGTTGCACAAGGTGGGTGATGTACAAGATGACACTTCTGCTGTGGCTTTGTAGAAATCACCAATGCCAACAAAACTGCTCTGTTGCTACAGGGACTGTCAGGTCATGGCTTCTTGCGCCTAAAACATAAAAGCAGCATGTAAAGTTCAATTCTGCAGCTAGTGACCCAGCCATAATGCATGGTCTTCAGAGAAAGCAAAGAACGGTTAGAGAACATAAGGACCTCATCCTTGTCCTATTGCAACCATTTTTCCAGGTGGCCTCAGCAATCCAAGCCAAGGGGTTTTACTAAAATGTGGGGAAAAGAACAGGTCAGATTCAAGTATGGGCTTAGTAGAAGAGAAGAGGTATGTCTCCATTCTGGCATCCACTTTATTTGTATAGAGGTTATATAGTGTTCTAGTCTTCTTCAGCCTACCATTTACAGTGTCAGTTTTGTTTTGATAACAGTTTGGGGGCTTTTCTTTAACTTTTTCCACGCAAGCCTGGTGCTCTACCACTTAAGCCACAGCTCCATTTCCCACTTTATTTGTAAGTGCTTACTCCTTTACCACCAAGACCCAAAACAGACCACTCAGGAAAAATAAGCCACACCAAGCAGCTGAGGACAGCTAGCACCCTCAGTCTTCCCTACCATCTGCCCTCAGCTCAGCCTCAGAAAGCTTCACAAGTATACAAATTCAAAACAGCCACCAGGTCTCGTCACCTCGCTTCTGCAGTTCTGGTGGCTTTCACCAGCCCTCAACACAGCTGGGCTGCTTGTACACTGTCAAAACACTGGAGAAGGGAGGTGGGGGAGGGGACGCACACATGCACATAGCCAGCAGCTGTTGCAGTACTCACTTGGGCTGTGCATGGTGCTGGTATCCGGGTCCCAACTGCGACCCTGCTCTCATCTCCACAGCCACAGAGCACTAGAAGAAAGTAAGAGAGAATGGCCAGCTTTCCAACAGTCCACAGACACTTCAGACAGGCTCCAACCAAAATAAAAAGCCAGTATTACTCTCTAGTTCAGCAAAAACACCAGTCAGACACTCGGTTTATTTCTGGTATAGGTCACAGGACTGGAGGGTCATCCAGGTAACTTCCCTTTTAGGTTAAGGGGAGTTTTTGAAAAACTCCTACCTATACCCCTTCTTCTTTCTCTAGAGTCTCCTCAGGCATAATAGTCAGGAGGCAACAACTGGAGGGCTGCCCCAAGATTCCCATCTACTTGCATTCTTGTCATTCTTGAGCCCTGTCCCCCTACAGAGAAAATATGGGCTCTAAACTGAGCACTGTACACAGACCACAGGAACACAGGCCTCAAGGCTTCCCTGGCCATATGAATTCTTCCTTAGCACCTTCTGAAAACGGGAAGAGCTACAGCTGTGGCATTTAAGCATGACACACCTAATTTCCAGCAAGCAAGTATTTATTTAATTTAACCCATACCCTTGTTTCTACATCGGTCCATTCAGACTCTGTACCATCTGGTTGAGCAGGTGCTACTGTGGCCGATCTTCGTTTTCGACTACTGCAAAAGGGGAAACACGATGCAAGGATTACTTTTGCATCTATGAACAATGAAAACGTTAGAGTGGGGAGACCATGTACACCCTCTGGGAACGAAGATGACTTCACGGCATGTTCTTTTCCTCAAGCAAGCAGCTAAAAAAGCAATAGTCCTTGAGATAAGTTTGAGAGGGTCACTCACCCATTTGGTAATTCTTGTTTTAAAGTCTCAATATCAGTAAACTGCACTGATTGTCCACCACCTCTTGTTTTAAAAACGTCACCCTAAAGCCAAGAGAAAAAGTCACCATTACACACTGATGCATCCAAGTGATAAACACATTTTGAATTCATCTCAAGATTGGCCTCCTTCATGTAAACTTCCACCCCAAAACCAAACAATGCATGGATTGCTGAGTCTGTACTAATCAAAACACTGGAAATGTGAGCACATCCCTGTCTCTCACTAAACCAAATACAACTGAATGAGTAACTGTCCTAATGGGGATGTGGTCATTCTTGGTCTGCTGCAATTTAAACACTAAATTGTACTGTGGATTTAAAGAAAGAAGAAAAAAAAAGACCCTAGAAATTTCTACATGCTCTTTTTTTTTAAGATAGGGTTTGGCTATGAAGCTAAGGCCAGCCTTAAATTGGTGATCCTCCTGACTCACTTTCAAGCACTGGGATTACAAGCATAAATCACCATGCTGAAGAGTTTCCTAGTTTTCCTTCCTTTTGTTTTTTGGGGTTTTTGTTTTTGTAAGGATGAGGCCAAAACAATTAGGAGACAGATGGGTAGAGTTGTCTATGGTTTTTGAGAGTCTTCACTATGTAAACTGAAGCTGGCCTTGAGCTATCTATGTAGCTCAGGCTAGCCTTATAATCTTGATCCTCCTACTTCAGCCTCCTCAGTGCTGGGATTACAAACCTTATATGCCATAACACCCAGCTACATTTAAAGTAGAAGTTGAAGCTGAATATTCCAGAATTACAGTCCATTATGGATTGTGAGCTTTAAGAGAATTAAGCCTATTAAAACAGTTAGTCCCAATTTGTCAAATTCACAAAGAAAAAAGTTACACAAGACTAGCCATGGAGGTATATGCCTATAATCACAGCGACTTGGAAAGCAGAGATCTAGGGGATCATGGTTTAAGGCCTGGCAAGCAGAAAGATAGTGAGAACCCATCTCAAAGAATAAAGCTGGACATGGTGGTATGCACCTGTCATCCAAGGTACTTAAGATGCCTAAGTAAGGTTCAGGCAGGCTTAGGCAAAAAAATGCAAGACCCTATATGAAAAAAACTGATTCTTTTTTTTTTTTTTTTTTTGCCAGTCCTGGTGCTTGAACTCAAGGCCTGGACATTGTCCCTGAGCCTCTTTGTGCTCAAGGACAGCACTCTACCACTTGAGCCACAGCACCACTTGCAGCCTTTTCTGAGTAGTTTACTAGAGATAAGAATCTCAAAGTTACTTTTCTGCTCGGACTGGCTTTGAACCGTGATCCTCAGATCTTAGCCTCCTGAGTACCTAGGATAGTAGGTGAGAGCCACTAGTGACCAGTGTGATTTTTTTTTTAATGTTCTAGGTCAATGGTTTGTTGTCAAGTTGATTTCTAACATACTTCTTTGTCCTGTGCAAATGTGCTTTTACCTTAATTAGCTTAGTCTCAATCTCCCCATCGGAGGCTAGTTCCTGGTGGGTAAGCATGTACTTCTCACACTTAGCCAGCGCCTTTTCATTGGCAACAGACACTGTGATGGCGTGAGGGACATGTGGCTGCATGACTGTCTCAGTCTGCACGTTAGAGGCAGGCTTATGATCTACCCATCTGTCCCCTGCAGAGCGGGATCGTCTGTGTCGGACACGGATTGGTGGTGCGGTCTGATCAGGTTGGAGAAGGAATTAAGAAACAAGCCAGAATTAATTTAAGAATTATTAGAAGTGCAGCAGGTTTGGCTAAGGAAGCACTTGACAATACCAAGACAAAGCTAAATGCTACTGAAATAACATAAATGTTCTCTTCCTAATGAGCCAGAACAGACATTCTTTGAACATCAGCTCACATATCATATATCCTGCCTGGGAACTTCCTCTCAACAAAGGAAGGAAGCAAAGGTTCTAGCCCTGCTGCCAATTCTCCCTCTTTAGGGGCAGACCAATCATTCATCATCTATCCTAAAGTCAACAATAAATCCTGCTTTTATGAGGTAATTGTAGGTCACAATTCTGCTAGAGCACTAAACATGCTAGGCATCCAATATATGCACACACAAAAAAGAAAAAAGAAAAAGCCACTCCTTATTCAAAGACAGACAATAAATAAATCTTAACAGCTGTTAAAAATACAGTACAAAAATACTAAAGAATATCCATGTATAATATGATTAAAACAATGTAAAGTTCTTCTGAACACTTTAAGATTTTTAAATCTCAAGACAATTTTATAAAAAGTTCAAATATAACAAATGGCTAAAATATGACAACTATTTTTCCCATACATTTTTTAAAATGTTCCAAGAATCATATAAAGAATATAGGGCCAAACCAGAGTCTATTATACAATAAAAAGAACAAACTGGTTGTTTCCAGTCAAATGGCATATAAAATTAAACTTTTAACATTCAGTCTAAGCATACTTGTGAAGAAGTTTGAATCAACTTAGTAAACATGTCATTGATAAAACTGAGCAAAAATGAAAAAAATTGCCACAGACTATATAAAGATCCCAATACAACATCTGGAGAGCTAAATCACTTTCCCACTAAAATTACAAGGGACAAATAAAGGACTAGTGATAGCTCAGATCTTTAAAAAACTTTCTCAATATAATTTAGCATTAAAGACTCAGCATTTCAAGGCAGGCTTAAAACTTCTAGTCTTAGTCTCACTGATGTGGAACAAAGTTGGTTCGTAGGATCCATCTTTGGAAAGCTGACAGTCTGCATAGAGCTACTAGCATTCATGACATAATACTTAACATTTTTTTCTTCATTGAAGTTCTAAAATTTAGTCCATCTGACAATTCTTGTGGGACACACATGGATGCAAATAGTGATCTTACAGTAACTTTTCTGCTGCACTTCTAAAGAGACTTTGATTTCAAGGGAGAAATTAAAGTACCTCTAGTAAATCCTCTTAAATATCTCAAGGCCAACTTAGGTATGTCATTACTGCTGGCCAGGGATAAACAGAACTTGAACTGTTTTTAGTCTAATCCTTCACCGAATAAGGGGATTGACTAGAGTTGATAGAAAGACCATTCACCATGATTTGCTCCCTAAAAGGCTTAAGGCAAATCTGCAGAGTAAGAAGGTAAGCCTTAGCATCATCGTCCACTTGAACACCTAGGGATTCATCACTATCCCTCAGTAATCGGGGATGAATGCAGGCCACACTACATCTTCAACTAGAAGAGAATCTTCAGCAAACATTTACCATAAGATTCATTTGCTTACAATAACAGTTCTAAAAGAGCTATGTTAAGATTTTACTAGGATAAAATTTTGGATGGTACTTGGTGATTTATTCAATGGAAAGCTTAATCTTCAAGAAAAAAAATATGGAAGCAAATTTAAGTTCCCCTGGATGAAGTAAAGCCCTTGTAGTTTCAGATAAAGGTCTCAAGACTAAAAGCAATTTATCAGACATGAATTACCATCCGTAGTTTTAAAAGAGGGACCTAGACTCTTCACAACAATCAGTGTCATAATTACCATATGTAACACATTGCTCTTGATAGTATCCCAGATTGAAAAGGTGAAAGGAGAAAAGCCATAGTTGGGACAGATGGGAAACTCAGAGGCTCTTTGCTCAGTTAACAATTTCTTTGGACATGACCAACATTGTGGTCCTGTAGGACAATATCCTTACTTGTAGGGGGAAAAAGACTCAGGGAAAAGTACCAATGGGTAAGTCTAGGTAAGAGTTTTCAGCTTTGCTTGGGGTTGAAACTTTCCAAATTGAGAGTCTGAGAAAAGCTTTTTAAAAAATACTTTTTCTTCAAAATTAGTAAGAAAAAAAGATTTGAAACTAAATCTGGGGAAGGGAAACCAAGAGGGGAAAAAAAAAAAAAAAAAGAGGGGGGGATTAAAAAAAGGTGTGACCTCAGACGGTCGTATTTGGGTTTGGGTGTAGGCATGTGGCAGAGCATGTACTCAGCATGTGAAAGGCCCAGGGTTCTATCCCTTACACCAAGGAGGAAAAGCCTGGCCACTCCGCTCAGATTGCGGCTCTACAGCTGCCAGGCAATCTGCTCAGGGATATGTTCCTTCTGTTACCAGGTAAGGTTACACATTTCCGATGAAGAACTAGGCCTCAATTTCAAGGTGACTCAATCTTTCCCATTTCAGGAAAAGAAGACCATGTTCATATGGGAGCGCATACATCTTTCCATTGAATTTTTGGAACCAAGTTACAGAAGGCAAAGCAGATAGAAATCTATTACTACAATGCACCGACCCTGCAGCAGTGGTCCTCTTCTACGTCTAGCTCATCTCTGAGGGTAGGAACCACCTCCCTGCCTTCAGTCCAGCACATCCCTCGCCTTCTGTCTGACACGATACAACTTTTACTTTGTCCTGGCTCCTGCTGCCTACGCCTTGCAATAGATGTCACATTGCCAGGAGTGTTGTATGAAGGAACTTTCTGCTCCCATTCCGAAATGCAGGAAGCTACGGAAATGCTGCTGCAAGAGTTAGAGCGCCTATGTAGCTGTGGCTGGCTCATGAGCTGCTGGCCGTTGGGAATCTGAGCAATATAGTTACTAGAAAGCTAGAAAAATTGGAGAAAAATTAATAATGAGTAATACTGGAAAACTGAGAGAACAATTCATTACTTTTCTATAATTCTAGCACATGAAGATTTTATAATTATTTGTACTAAGTTACCAAGTTTTTGTATTAAAGTTTTTGTTTATGCTGGTTTAAAAAAAGTTTTAAATATAAGTTTAAAAAATATAATATTTTTAAAACATATTTTCATAGAAATGATCATCTAAAGGGTTGGAGGATTTAGCCCAGGTAGTAGATTGCTTGCCTAGAAAGTGCAAGGCCCCGAGTTCTAACCCCTTACTACCCAAGAAAATACATTCACCTCATCTCCACAGATTCTCCCTAGTACTGAGCTGCTACCAATAACTTACTGGCACAGGTGCTGGAGATACTGATCTTTGGGTAACTTTTTCTCTGTCCCGCTCCCGGGAAGGTCTCTCTGGCTTTTCCGTTTTGGGTTCAGTCACGATCGCTTTTAGCTGTTTCAGTTTCTCATCTTTGACCCAGAGTTTATTCTGCATCTCCAACTGGGTGGCTGCCACCCGACGCTCCTGCAGAGTAACAATTCAGTCATACAGCACAATGCACCAAACTCAGCTTTGTTTCCTTAAAACATTTTCCCACCAATACAGTATCGGCGCTCAGCCCATCTAGGCTGGTCACAGCTCTGAGGGAAGCAGGGGAGACAAGACACTCACACACTCCTTCTGCCACTTCATTGATGTTTCTGTCACCATGCCTTGCAAACGAGCTTCCAATCTGCGCTTGTCTGAGAAGTGCCGCTGGAGTTTCTGATTCTGGGTTTCCAGTTCCTGCTGTAGATTGCGCTTGTCTTCTTCATAGATTGTGGTTGTTTTCTCCAGAATCTCAATCTGCAAAGGGAGAACAGTGTGCTCAGTAATTGGTATGCAGGAGGGAGGACAGACAAATGCAAGAGGAAGGGCAGGCAAATGTAGTCATAAGATCCAATGTACACATGCTAAAATGGAACCAGGCAACTTGAGGGGATCGGTGGGGTCAGGAGAGAGGGGGAAGAATGATGTAAGGGGTGAAATAGCTTGAGATGCATTGTACTGATTAACATGCCAAATTGAAGCTCTTTTGTACAATTAGGGATTTTAAGAGTAATAAATAACTGGCATGCAATCACCTCCCACAGCTGTAAAGAAACCTTCCTGAATTTGCTCACGAAAGAACATTTGTGGAAAGACAATAGAAAGCACTTTTCCTCTAAGATTTCATCTAAACTCCTGTTTGCTTCCCCAAAATAAAAATGTATTAAATAAGCTTCTAAAATGCAAAAGTAGAAATGATTTTGTGTGAAAACTCCTTTCCCTTGAAACTGAAAACCTAAAACTAATTTATCAGGACCTTTTCAGAAAGGAGAAAGCTGTACTGGTTGGGTTCAGCTTCTCTCCAGTGACTGCACCCCCCCCCCCCCCCCACAGCCTCAGACAGCCTTGAAATGAGACAACAGTGCTGTCCTGCTCCCCAAAAGCAGTACTTCATCCACCCAGGAGGAGAGCAGTTACTAAGTTGTAGCCTTGCCTCTAGTGCTGGCTTTTTGCTGGTTAATTGGAATTAAGAGTCTCACAGACTTTCATGCCCAGGCTGGCTTCAAACCTTTATCCTTAGATCTCAGCCTCTTGACTAGGTAGGACTGCAAGTGAGAACCACCCCACCCAGCTGCTATGTTTCAAATTGGATCTAATTAGCACTGGTTCAATACCAGTTACAGGCACCAGGCCTTACCACCAAAGCTAAACTCAAAAGTCTTCTAGAAAGCCCATTTTATGACCTAGGGTTGGCTACACAAACTTTTTAATACTCCCATGCAGGAGACTGAAGCAGGAAGATGTTAAATTCAAGGCCAGTCCAAGACCGTGTCTCAAAAAAGAAAGCAGGGGGAGGAGGGGGATATCGTAGATGCAAGCTCTCTTTTGGGGGCCAGAGAACACTCTCTTCAACTGTCAAGCTCTAACTCATAAAATCAAAGACTACTGTCCCCTTTTCTCCAATTGCTTTTCACTGACATTCCTCAGGTGGGGTAAAAACAGTATCTAACCAGGTGATAACAAGTGCAAGGAGCAGACACCTATCTGAGACAAACAGGAAACGGCTAACATTCCACAGATGTAAGAACACCTAAACGAACCTTATATTCTAAAGTTTTGTTTTTCTTTTCCAGCCGTTCTATTTCAATTTTCTGTCCTGAGATCAGCTTTTCTTTTTCATTTAGTTTTCCTTGGATATAGTTTTCTTTATTTGCAACAGCATTGTCAAATTCTTGTAACAAAGCTTTAAAAGTATTAGCTGAAACAAAAGCACACACGCAGGCCATATTACTACATTGTAAAGGAAAAAAAAAAAGATGAAAACAACTTTCATGAGCAGACACTGAGAAAAACTACTCAGCAAGTCTCTGTGACAATCAGTGGATGAGGAGAAACAAGTCTGAAAAGGAATCAGGAATCTGGAGTAGAGGATTTAGCTAAGTGGTAGAGTACTTCCCTAGCAAGTACAAGGCCTTGAATATGGTCCCCAGGATCACACAAAAAAGGAAAAACCAGCTTGGGGAGGAAGATGCATGAGTATCTGTCTCTAATTAGCCTGTAGAAAGCTGGAAGTGGAGCTGTGGTTCAAGTGGTAAAACACCAGTCTTGAGCAAAAAAAGCTCAAAGATAGCTACCAGACCCTTAGTTCAAGCCCTAGGACTGACAACAAAAGGAAAAAAAAAAAGAAAATCAGGAGTTTGATTCTCAAATCTATAAAGAACATTCAAAGTTTCATAATAGAAAAACAAAACTAACAAAAACAATGCTTATAATCTTCAGTACTATAATATACAAGAACAGAAAGCACCAGATCTTTGATCAACTGGAGCCAATCTGAAACCCCAGGAACACCTCAGAGCCAGGCACGAGATGCTGCCAGGCTGTCCACTGTTCCGTAGGAGCCTCAAACATCACCTAACTCTCAGCAATCACACCCCCATTCTACAAACAGAAAGGAGAACTATTCCATCCATCACTGTTAAAAATAAAAAACAAAACGTACAGAGAACCCACTTTTATTTTCTCCTGACTTTCCTAGAATAAAAAAGAACTGAAGGAAAAGACAATTTTCCATTTCAACTCAACAATACCTGAGTACTACAAAATACAGACACAAAATAACTCTTCTTGGAGATCCACTACAAATTATTTCCTGAAGCTAAAAAGAAGTTTTTCCCTTACACTGCTTGTTAAACTCGTCAATCATCATCTGTCGAAGGTCATGCCGCTTTTCTAAGGCTTCAATGAGCCTTGGGAGGGTCTGCTCATCATTGATATCCAAAATCTCACACGATGGCAAAGGTGGAAAGCTCTGTAAAACCACGTCGGCAACCAATAGCTCTGTATGGAATTACAGAAAAGCCAAGTTATACAAGAGACAAACTGCTTAAACAAGTTTGATTAACCATGGAATTTCTGCTGTCATAACCCTTCTTCCTTTAAAAGCTAGAGGTATAGTCTGCAACTAAAGAAATTTCATTTGGGGCTGGGAATGTGACTTAATGGTAGAGTGCTTGCCTAGCATGCATGAGGCCCACAGTTCAATTCCTCAGTACCACATAAACAGAAAAAGCCAGAAGTGGTGCTATGGCTCATGTGGTAGAGTGCCAGCCTTGAGCAGAAGCAGCTCAGGGACAGTCCCCAGGCCCTGAGTTCAAGCCCCAGGACTGGCAAAAAAAAAAAAAAAGGAAAGAAAGAAATGTCATTTCTCATTTATATTGTCTTAAAATACAATTCAAAGAGCAAAATCAAAATTTTGCATTTGATGTTTAAGGAGATGTGGACAATTCTCTTCTACAAATGGATGTGTTTAGAGACAGAGCAAGAAGTGTGCAGTGATGCCATCCAGTCCTACCGTCTCCAATCGGGCCTCCTCGAGCCTGATTTCTGTATCGCCTCCCAGGCGTTAAGCCGCAGATCACCTTCTCTACCGGCCTCGCTACTTCAACTTCTTGTGTTACTTCTGCAAATCTCATAACTTGCTAAAATACAAATGATTATATTATTCTTATTTTTTGTTCTGTTTTACTATTACTTTATTAGATTACTTTTGTCAAAAATAACTGTATCCTAGAAGAAACCATGTTGAGTGAGGTAAGCCAAGAGCAAAGAGACAAAGGGCACATGGTCTCCCTGATAAGTGGATGTTAAATCCAAAACATAAGGAGATATGACAAAGTAAACAAGACTTGAGAAACAAAGGACCTCCACTCATCTGGTTGAATCATTACTAAATGACCCCAGGCTGCTGACCAGATATATGGTATATATGTCCACATCAGAGGAAACTAGGAGGAGGACACAGAAACAGAGGGAAATGGGAAAACATACAACAGCAAGACCATCAGCTGCACTGGACATTGAACAAAACGAACTAAGCAACTAAATGGCAGTGATGGGAAGGAGGGAATGAGCAAAAGGAAAGAAATGTACATATCACCAGATATGGAAGAAATAACTGTATTGTCAAAGCTCATTGAACTCATAAACTTTATAGACCACGATAAAGACAATTTGCCTCATGAAGGTTAGAATGTGTTTGTGACTTTAAGTATCACTATCCTACAATACTGTGAAATTTATGTAATCATTTAATCACAATAAAAAAATTGCAAAAAAAAAGTATCCAAAATCCTTCTATTGATGTGAACTAAATATGCAATGAGATACTGATAAATTATCTGTTCACTTTCATATCCAACCCAATAGCTCTGTATCAATTCATAAAATGATCACCATTTCATTATTAATATCCAAATAACAAATAGCTTTTTGATTTTTTGTGCTGATAGTGGGGCTTGAACTCAGGGTTTGTTGCTTTCTCTCAGCTTTTTTGCACACAGCTTGGAATGTACTACTTGAGCCATGCCTCCATTGCTGGCTTTTTTTTTTTTCTGGTTAATTGGAGATGAAATCCTGAATATTTTTTCTGCCCAAGCTGGCTTCAAACCTCAATCCTTAGAGCTCAGCTTCCTAAGTAGCTAGGAATTATATACATGAGCCACTGGCACCTGATTCTAACCATTTTCCCTAGAGAAAGTTAACTTTACAGGACAAATAAATTAAAATTACCAAGCTTTCTTCATAATCTTCAGCCTTTGGGTTCACACACACAATCATTCGCACTTTTCCTTCCCCATCAAAGTAGTTCTTGAACAGATGGGTTAACTTTGAATCTCGATATGGAACCATCTAAAAGATATTCAAGATCTAAGCACACAGGGCAGAAACACAAACACAACTCCACACATGTAGCAATGGTGGCTTCCTACCTTGTTAGTCCCATACATCTGGTTCTCCCTCAGGACTTCTATACATGTTCTTAGTGTCATCAGTGACTGGTTTATGTTACCTGAGAAGAAGCATACAGAGGCACTTGAAAACAATGACATAGCAGCAAGGTGTACTCTATGAGCCTAAAACATAACCTGGAAGTCATACACAAGTTTTCCTGGCTCACTGTAAAGCTCTGACCATGCCCAGTCAAGCATCTTTTCCAGTGTTCCCTCTACGTGGCTTCAGTAGCCATACTTCAGGATCTCCAGGAGGAATTCTCTACCATGCAACACTACACTTGATGACCCCAAAAGTTGCTCCCAAATCCTATAAAAAAAGTTTATTAGAAGATGGACTTAGAACAAATCATGTTAAGTGAGGTAAGCCAAGCTTAGAAAGACAAATGGTACATGTTCTCTCTCATAAGTGGAAGCCAGATCTGAAATACACTGGGAACATAATAAAATATATAGGTTTCTAGACATTCACACACAGTGAGACCAAAGGAAGATACATTCAGGAGAGGAACACAAAGGCACAATGCCTGTGTACATCTGATCATACAAAATATCAAAATGAACTCCAGGAAATGGAACCAAGAGGGTTTTTTTTACTTTTTTGCTATTTTTGCTTTCTTTTCTTTTTGTCCTATTATTAATTTACATGTCATTGGGAAGGGGAGGCACAGACATGAAAGGACAAAGGGTAAACAAATGCAGCAATGGTACTCACTGGACACTATGTTGAAAATGAACTACAGAACTTGTAGGTAGGAATGGGAGAGAATAAGTAGGAGAGAGCCAGGGAAGAAGTGACACTGTCTAAAAAGAAATGTACTATTACCTGACTTATGTATATTACCTTTTTTTTTTTTTTTGCCAGTCATTTGGCCTGAATCCTGGGCCTGGATGCTGTCCCTCAGCTCTTCAGCTCAAGGCTAGCACCACTTCCGGCTTTTTATGCTTATGTGGTGCTAAGGAATCGAACCCAGAGCCTCATGCATGGGAGGCAAGCACTCTACCACTGAGCCACCTTCCCAGACCTGTATATTACCTTTATAATAACATTTTTTTTTAACTTTTAAAGTTTATTAGATGCAGATGCTTGTTTATGGTTTTTGTATTTCCCAGTGCTGGGGATTGAACTTATACTTGCTTAGCTTGCTTGCTCACAGCAGGCATTCTACCACATGAGCCACATCTCCAGCCCAGCATTTTGCTGATTAACTCTATACAGAGTTTCACAGACTTTTCTACCCAGGCTCCTGAGTAGCCATAATCATAGCATGAGCCACAGGTACTAGTCTTACACAAATGTTTAATAATGGTCACATTAAAGCATTTTCTCTAAAGCACACCACTTCAGGGTACAGCTGGTTCCATCTGAAATCTGGTGTGACCCCTGTACCAAGGGCTGCATGCTCAATCACATGAGAACCAGCTAACTCTGTCCCCTTAACAAGGGTTAACTCTTAACAAGGGTTTCTCAGGCAATGTACTTGCTATTTCTGACCAATCTGAAATCTTCTTTGAATTTCAGACCCAACACAAGTCTGATAAATTAATCAAGCCCTTAAGAATGCAGATCTCACCTGATTAGGAAAGCACATAAGGTCAGCTAATCCACTATGCTTCCATCACTGGTCTACCAACTATATGATTTAGGGGATAAGAGGCTATTAAAGCTGGACACCGGTGGTTCATGCCTGTAATCCTAGATACTTAGGAGGCTGAGATCTGAGGATCACAAAGCCAGCCCAGGCAGGAAAGTCTGTCCATGAGACTCTTATCTCCAATAAACCACCAGAAAACCGGAAGTGGCGGTGTGGCTCAAGTGATAGAGTGCTCACCTTGAGCTGAAGAGCTGAGGGACAGTGCTCAGGCCCAGAGTTCAAACCCCACGTCCAAGGGAAAAAAAAAGAGGCTATTTAATGGTCAGTGCTCTTTACTTGTGCTGGATTGATATTCATCTAAACTAAAGACAAGTATGCTTAAGTCACTAAATTATAAGCATACAACTAGCTGTGCCAGTTGTGGTTTTTGTTTTTGGTCACTTGTGGGGCTTGAACTCAGGGCCTGGGCACAGCCCTGAGCTTCTCTGTGCTCAAGGCTAGTGTTCTACCACTTAAGCCACAGCGCCACTTCTGGCTTTTTGTTTATATGGTGCCTTCATGCATGCTAAGCAAGCACTCTACCACTAAACCACATTCCCAGCCCAGCTGTGCCAGTTTTTAAAAAACTTTAGCAATAAGTGAATACTCACCTGCTTCTCGTAATCTGTTCCCTTCTGCTTTGGTCCGGTTAGTTCTTTCACTTCCAGCAAGATCAACCAGGGATAACTGGCTTATAGTGATTTGTTCTTTCTCCTGAAAAGGACAAAGCCGACAAGCTAAAATAAATTATACTGCTTTACCATGCTCCTCAATAAAATCAAATTAACTGCTGGGTATGATGGCACATGTCTGTAAGCCCAGCCTCTACCAGGGAGGGGCAGAGAATACTTGTTTAAGAGCTTGCTGAAAGCATATGACAAATAGGACTGCAAGTTCAAGTCTCAGAAGAAAATAATAACATATGGATCTGTAAGATACATGTATGTGTATATACACATACATGTTTTATACACATATATAATATACGTATATTCCTCAGACCAGACATTAGACTGTGCATTCCCTAAAAAGCAGGACTTCTTCACTTATACTTTGTCTCCAGCACCCTATAGTGCCAAGCATTTAGTAGGAACTCAATATGCTAAATAAAAGTTGAGTCTAGTGTAGGGCCCTAGATTGGGGCTGGGGATGTAACTCAGTAGAACAGCACTTGCTTGACATGTACAAAGCTCCAGCTTCCATCCCAATACCACAAACACCACATGGAAAAAATGAAAAAAAGGGAGGGAAGGAAGGAGGGGAAGAAGGAAGGAGGGAGGGAGGAAAGGAAGATAGGCAGGGAAGGAGGAAAGACCTAATAATTTTAGAGCACTCTATTACAACACATGAAGGTTAAGGTGACTAAATGGTATCATAATACTAAAAATAAATTCAAGCCAGGTGTGTGGGTGGCTCAGGCCTGTAATCCTAGCTATTCAGAAGGCTGAGATCTAAGGATCTCAGTTTGAATCCAGCCCAGGTAGCAAAGTCTGTGAGACTTTTACCTCTAATTAACCATAAAAAAAAAATCAGAAGTGTAGCTATGGCTCAAGTAATAGAGCACTAACTTTGAGGACAAAAGCTCAGGGCAGCATTCAGACCCAGAGTTCAAACTCCAGGACCAAAACAAAAAAGTCAAGTCAAACCTTAATACCAATAAATAAAAATAAATAAATAAATAAAAGATGTGATTAAAGAATCAAGTGACATCGAAAGCTAACTTCTAGCCACCCGTATCTCTGACTAGTATTTACAGAGTAGAAGCCGGTGGCTCTCACCTGTAATCCTATTCACGAGGCAATTGCTCATGCCTATAATCCTAGCTACTCAGGAAGCTGAGATCTGAGGATCATGGTTAAAAGCCAGCCAGGGCAGGAAAGTCCATGAGACTCTCATCTCCAATTAACCATCAGAAAACCAGAAGTGGCACTGTGGCTCAAGTGGTAGAGTGCTTGCCTTGAGCTGAAGAGCTCAGGGCCAGCACCCAGGCCCAGAGTTCAAGCTCCATGAAAGACAAAAAAAAAGAGAGTATAGACCAGCCTCCTTTCATTCTTACACCCTCATGAGGAGTTGGAATTCGAAATCCTGCCAGTCTTCAGAACCATGCCCTTCTTGGCATCCACAAACCTGCACAATGCCACATCTTTACTGTATACTTTTAATACATTATAGATTAATGGCTACAGCTATTAAGTTATATACACTTGGGCTCAAATGCTGTTGATAACTGATATACAGCACCACAGTAGGACAGGACCAGCAGTGAGTACCAATTAGTTTATGGGCTCCTATGGCCTCTCTGACAAGAGATGACCAATTTCCAATACTAGCCACCATCTGAACTGTGCCTACCTTGGAAAGCCAACTGCTGATAGCCAGTTCATAAATTTCCACATACAAAATAAGTCAGCACAGATGAAACAATGAATCACACACTCTTAAAGAGATCTTTAAATTTCAGTATCACAGATTGAATAGTCAGCTGCCCCAAGACTTCATCAGGTATATATATATATATATATATACATATATATATATATATATATATATATACACCACACACATTCTAAAGCTATCTTTATTTCAATGACTGCTCCCTCATTTAGCTATAAAAATTAAGGCTCAAGTTGGAACTAAAGTGCCCCACACTTACCTGTAAGACATTGTCTCCATCGGCATCCAAGGGGGCCTGGACAAGTTTGATGTTGAACACACTGTGAGAACGGCTGGACTCCCGGTTCAAGTGGGTGTTAGCAATACGTCTCTTTTTCTGCCCTACAATGACAAGAAAGCCACTGATTATCATCACACATGCTACTCTGCAGCTACTCTGCATTTTTATAGTCAAACCCATCATCGTATGGTTCTCAATTCCAGTTCTGTGTCTGACCTCTCCAGAAAACTTCAAAAGCCTCCTCCGTGGACTTCACTTCTACTTCTGTACATCCTGCAACGTACATGTTATGGTTCTTGTCTTCTCGAAGCATTTTAGATTGTGGAAGTCTGTGGCAAAGAGAACAGATTAGTTTCCTAAATCGTGAGATGCTTCAGAGGACTGAAGTGCCAGGCAACCTGACACCCATTCTTTAATGGAGAATAAGCTTCTGTAAGGACCCAAAGGACTGTCTACTTGGACAAGCTTGCAAGATTAGGTGCATGGCAGTGTAACAGGAGCTAATGGCTTTAAAAAGCTTTGTTCTTATCCACCATACAGAAGCACATGAAATACACCAAATAAACAATTAGAGCCCAAGTAGTATTATTAACAGTGTCACACACACAGACTCACTACCACAATTTAGCATTGTCCTCATGCTGCAAGGTCTACCCATAGACCTGTTCTGAGCATCACAGCAGTAGCACAAAAAATTTCAGAAGGAGCTTTAGTCTTCAAGGTGGGTGAGTGCTGCAAGGTGGGTGAGTGCTGCTGGATGAGGAAGCTGCCTGCTCAAACCCATTCTTGTAACTGGTAAGAGTAGAGAGATTTAGTAGCTACTATCATTACCAACAGTCAGTGGAAGATTTTTCCAGAAGCAAGTAAGGCTTAGAGGTAGCTATGTGCAACATGCTACAGATGCCACGCCCTTTCCCAACAAAAAGCCCACAGTATCACATACACAAAATCTGTGTTCTTCGCAGGGGTGCTGCAACTGTTCCACCTGGTAAAGGAGTAAGGTGACATTACTGCTCATAGCCACCACCTCACACCAACACCAAGCCACAAGAAGTCAGGACTAGAAACAACTCTACTTGTAAAATGTCTCCATTGCATCCATGCATCCAACCATTTATTGTGCCAGTACTGGCTTCATGTTCTTCCTTAGCTTCTTGCCCTAGGCTGGTGATACATTACTTGAGCCACACTTCTACTTCCAGCATCTTGTTGATTAAGTGGTAACAAGAGTCTCTCAGATTTATCTGCTTGGGCTGGCTATGAACATTGATCCTCCTGAGTAGCTAGGATCATAAGCATGAGTCCCCAGTACCCTGCTAACTATAAGTTAGCAGTTCAAGAAAGTAAGTCTATCCCACCCTAACAAATTCAGGGCCAAACAAATACCCTTGTAAGTTAAAGCAAGGAGGTACCCAGAAAGGTTATGAAGCACATAGAGCATTTTTGTAAGTCTCTTTTCTTAACTAAGTTAAACTAAGACAGAATCCTCCGAAAACAGTTTTATTTTAAAACCAAACACTTGGAACTTAAGCAAACATTAAAGTAATCAGTAGCAATGAATGACCTCACCAAAGTTTAGGAAACTGAGTACCCATGGAATTGTGACTCAACACAACTGAGAGTTTAGAACAAAGGAGAAAAGTTAGTAAAATGGGATATGAGAAGCCATTGCCTTAAGTATATACAATAACACTATCCAAGATCTCTTTAATACATCTCAAGGGCACTTAGACAAGTGACCCCAGAAATAAGGCCCTTGTAAACCCTTTAAGTTTTCATCTGAAGCTGAAGACGGTGGCACATGCCTATAATCTCAACATCTAGAGGACAGAGGTAGGGGATTCAAGAGTTCAAGGCCAGCCTGGACTACACAGTAAAACACTGTCTAAAAAAAAGCCAGTTCCCATTTGAAAAACAGTTAAGTAGAACAAAGCAAAAAAGAACAGTCTTCCTTCACATAAGCTTCTAGAATGAATACTTTCACATTTAGTTTGCTTAGCAACTTTGTGATTATTTTACCAATCCTTGGCAGATTTAAGGACTCTGAGTGATGATCCATAGAGATGGGGCCAAGAACCACAGAAATACTTTTATCAAGTCCGGCCTCACTGGAGTCCACATACTTTTCATACAAGTAAATACATACACCAACATCCATCTCAATCTAACCATTCCAAAAGTCCAGCTGTTTCTCCATTGTTCCATTAAACATCTACACAGGAGTTAAGTTTATAAAACATATTCTGAAAGGCTCTAATGAAGTCAGCAAGAAAGACTCAAGAACAACATACTAAGCATCAGACTTAAAATCCCAGAATGGGATGGATTTGCAATATCTGGTGTTAACTGGTCTGTAGTCTCAGTGTGCAACACAAGGAAACGTAAGGAGTGCAAACTCTGGCAGAATGACAGTATAACATCACTTCCTGAGTCAATGGTGAGTGGTCAGAGCACTAATTGAATAGACAACGGCTTTAGCAACCACTCAGACACGGTTAAGAGGCTACAAATCTCCCAGCACAACTGGTTTCTAGTAAGGCAATACCAGGCCACACCAAAAGGGGTACAATTCCTTATACAATTAAATTCAAGTTCTTCTCAAAGCCCAGCTCTGAGCCAAGAATTTTCTAAAGTAATCTCCCAGCCAGGCTCCCTTATGTTCCCAGCACTCAGGAGGCTGAGGTAGGAAGATCCAGAGCAAAAAGGCAGCTTGGGCTACATAAGCATATATGCATATATACATACATACATACATACATACATACATACATACATACATACATACACACACACACAATACACACTTGGGCTACATAAGCATACATACATACACACATATGTTTAAATATACACATATATGTATGTATATAACACACACATAATTTTCTCCGTAAGATGAAAATTCAAACCAATCATTTATAAGCCTTAACCTGCTAGTTTCCCGGTCCAGTTTAAAATCTAGTTAATAGTTAAAAACTCTCACTGAACATTAATTACATGATACACATGTGGCCTCATGGCATTCTGAAAGCAAATCGCCACCATGGCTGAAGAATCAAGGGCTCTCTGGAGTGAAGAGAGCCTCCAGGACTAACAGCTAACAAGAGGCTCTTCTCTACTTACTTGGGCTTTATAGGATCAAATGGCACCTCTTCCAGTAGATCATATATGTAATTATTGTAAATCTCAAAGTAAGAGACAAAGGCACCATAGACACTGTCTTCATCAACTTCTTCGGCTTTACAGAATTCTTGTACATTTATCATATCAGCAAACTCTGGATCCACTTGTCGTCTAAAAAACAAAACCAAAGACAAGTCTGACTTTATTTAGTGTCAGTTACTATGAAAAGTAATCCCAAGGAAACGAAAACATCTGACACAGACAAACTGCCTTTAAGCAGAGATACACAATCCAACTGGATGCAGACTCACCATGGTGGCTGGCCACCACTGCCCTTGGTCTTCCTAGCACAGGCCTCACACCCTCTCCACCCCCAAAGCTACTTCCCAACTCAGAAGAAGGGCTGAACATGTCACCAACTGGAGTTCTCAACCTTGACCCCACCATTTACCTTCAGGCCAGCTTCTCTACTGCATGTCTCTACTCTCCAGGCCCAGGGAAACCACAGCTGGTCTTTGTCCCCCTGGGCCAGTGCCATGCAGACAAGTTTACTTACTTGCTAGAGGGAGTCTTGGGAATAGGAGCGGCTTCCCTTTTCTGCCGCTCTAGCAAGGCATCCACCTCACACTGTATGTCCATACTGTTCCTGTCATTAGACTTGAAAACCTGAGGGGACAAGATCACACCAAGGTTTTGGTTTTGTTTTAGAATATAACTTAGCAATAAACATATCTGAATTTTTTATATTTTTTTAAACATTTGAAATTTTTCTTTCTTTTTTTTGAGACAGGGTCATATAGCATAGGCTGGGCTGGCTGGAACTTGAAGGTCTCCTGCCTCCCAAACACGACAGGTATGCACCACCATGCCTATGCCCAGAATGCTTAAACAAGAGCCACTGCCCTGGCTCTCTCCTGATCTTCCGGCATTATGGGTATCTGCAGTGAGACACAGCTATAATGTAATAAGTTGTACTTACATATCGTTTAGCTTGGAATGACCCAATGCTGTTGAAGATCATGTTCAAACAGCGAGGAAGCAGCCCTCCTTCCCCTGGAGAGCCAATCATGGTATGAGTTTTTCCACTTCCTGTCACACCATAGGTGAAAAGCAGACCTACAGCAAGCAACAATGAGTAACAGCTTAAAGTCCTGCACTGGTAATGCTCCTCCCACAGTGAGTCTATGACAACTAACCCAAAGAGGCACATTCTGCCATGAGAGCACCAACACACATGTATGCATTCTCAAGGCATAGAGAAATAAGTTTTAACTTATCTAAATAATTAAGCCTGAATCTAATGCCAAACAAAAACCAGACATATAAACATCAAGAAATTTGTATAGGAGATTTTTAAAAAGTAAAAAGGAAGCCAACTCAGCTCCCAAGAATCCTACCATTCTTGCCATGAATGAGGTCATCCACCAAGGGACTTGCCACGGCATCGAAAAGCTCCTTCTGGGTGGTATGAGTGCCAAATACCTGCTTAAATGAGTACTGAGTCTGGGGAGAGGAGACAAGGGGGATGGGGAAAGGGAGGGAGAGAGAGGGAGAGAGAGGGGAGGGAAAGAGAGAGAGAGAGAGAGAGAGGACTTGCTTAAATGAGTATTGTACTCAATCTGTAGACTTCTTGTGTCTAGACAAGGAGCACTATTATGGCTACAATGTTTCTGCAGGAACATTTCCCATGTCCACACACAAGGAAGGAAAAATGAAGCTCTTTCAACTTGGAGGTGATCAAGTATGGTGGTGTGGATCCAGAGGACTGACTGTTCCTTTCACTGATGAGAAATCAAGATTCCCTCTGTGAAGTTTCCAGTCTACTTCACAGCCACACAAATGATCTCAGGAGGGTGCCAAGCACAGATGGCTTCACAGTCCTCAAGTTAGAGAACTTTCAACTCAGCCTAAACTAAGCCCCAGACTGAGAAGTGGCAAAGCTATTTCCAGTGCAATGCTCTTTCGATTATAAACATTACCTTCTGTCAGGAGGCAGTAACAATTTTTCTTTTCCACCAAACTTCTTATGTATACATACTTATTTGCACATACCTGAAACCTTTTTAATGCAGTTAAGTCAACAAGTCTAGTTGGGTATCAGTTTACCTGGCTCTGGTAGATCACGCCTATAATCCTAACTACTCAGAAGGCTCATATCTGAGGACTGCAATTTGAAGCCAGCTTAGTTATGAAAGTCCATGAGACTTCTCTCCAATTAGCCAGCAAAAACAAAAAATAAAAACACAAGTAGAGCTGTGGCTCAAGTGCTACAGACTAGCCTTGAGTTAAGAAGCTAAGGGACAGCACCTAGGCCCTGAGTTTACACACACACACACACACACACACACACACACACACACACACACACACACACACACACACACACACACACACACACACACACACACACACACACACACAGCAAGCAACAACAAAAAGAAACGATTCTACATCCTCAAAGACCCACTGTTCCATACAGCCTTGCCAGACCATGCCATCATGCTCAATTCAAACTTACCATTTGACAAGTAAGACACTGAACTAAGTACAGTTGGTGCAGCTCAAACAGCTTTTCAATGACGTTATCTATACCACACACCAACATACAATAGTGAACCCCAAACATCCCTATCAGCTAATGAAGTTACAAGGAAGTGCCATGCACTCAGGTGTCTGATGATTTTGGTGTGAAGGAATCTGTTTAGCTATGTGTGATACAGACACTGACCATTGTACTACAACTGCCTACAGTATTCAGTACAGCAGCACAAGGCTATAGCTCTACAGCAATAAGCCCATACAGGTTTGTCTAAGTATGTTCTGTGATGTTCACATGGGACAAAGTGTCCAGGAATGCATTTCCCATATAACTGTAAAGAAATAGATGGAGGTGGGCTAGTGCATGGAACAAGAGACACCCAGGTGGGGTAAGCTGGACCTCTGAGGATGTGATAGGTAAGCTGAAACCCAGGGGTGAGGAGCTGCCCACGCTAATAACCAAGGGAAAGATAGTCCCAGCTACTGTCCCAGAGTTCTGGTGTATCCAAGGATGTTAAAAGATTGGATGAGAGCTGGGTGCTGATGGCTTCTGCTTATCTGTAATCCTAGCTAACAGAAGGCTAAAATCTGAGGTGGTTCAAAGCCAGTCTAGTCATGAGACTTATCTCCAATTAACCAACAAAAAAGCCAGAACTGGAGGCCCAGCTCAATTAGTACAATGCCAGTGAGTGAAAAAATCCAAGACAAGGATTAGAGTTCAAGCCCCAGAATTGGAACCCAAAAAAAAAAAAAATTGGAACAGTACTAAAAGATGAAGGTAGAGATAAACAGAAGACAGGTTGAACAGGAATTTGCCCATGTAAAGACTTCTGCCTTGAAAGGTTTGGGACATGGGAAGGATAAGATCTCATTTATACTCCTGCAAGATTATTCTGGCAGCTGTGTAGAAATGACCAGACTGGGTACAAGCAGTCCAAGCAGGCTCAGGCAGTGTTGCTGATGGCACTGCCAGAGATCTGGTGGTTTACCATCCCTTAGGCATTTAGAAACACTGCTGCTACTGCCCAGCCTGTGTTAGTGGACTCATGGCTTTATGATCCTATCATAAAGTTACCTACTGTCATGTGATCAGATTATAAAGCTATTCTCCGTTATCTAATGTCACGGTTGGCTCCATCTAGGACAGGCTGCACAGTATCCAGGGCTGAGCACCAAAAATAAACACCTGCTCTTTCCCCACAGATAGTGTAGAATCATTGGTCTCAGTGATTAATAACTGGGTTCCAGTAAGCTAGTGGCAGTAGAGAGATAGGAAAGGAATGCTTCCAGATAAACTTTGGAGTTGACCTGATAGTATCTACTAATGACCTGGATATGAGAAGAGCTGGTGGAAAACAGATTCCAGGTCTGGCCAAAGCAATTGCATAATGATGCTATCATCAGTTGAAAAGGTAAAAGGATGGAGGGATAAAGGGTGAACAAATACAGCAGTGGTACTCCCTAGACACTGTGTTTAAAACGAACTGTATAAATTGTGGGTGGAAATGGGGGAAAAACTAGGAAAGAGCAAGAGAAGGAGACATCATTGTCCCAAAACAAATGTACTCATTAACTGATTTATGTAACTGTAACCCCTCTTTACATCACCTTTATAATAATAAAACAGTATTTAAAAATTTTTTTAAATCAAAGGAAAAAAATAGTCAAGATCTCCCTTTTGGATAGGTAGAGTTTGAGATGCCAGCAGATATTATCAAGTAAGTGGCTGGATGTCCACATTTAGGGCTAGAGGAAGAGTCTGGCCTGAAGATAAAAACTCCAGAGATTTTTCTGGATAATCAACACTTGAAGCCATGGGAAATAGATATAGAAGAAAATCCCAGCCATAGTAGTCTGGCTCAGTATTTATAGTTTGGACAGGAGGAAAAGCTAGTTGTGGGGCAGTGAAAGAACAGGGAGGTTGTAGGGAGGAGCAGGCAGGAGAGCTTCAGGAAGGGGGTCCTGCTGAGGAAGACAATGAGGTCTTATCAAAGCATCAAAGGGCCTACAGGCTGTCTTCTGAAGAACACTGCCACTGCAGCAGTCCTAGTGGCTCATGCCTGTAATCCAAGCTACTGAGGAGGCTGAGATCCAGATCAAGGTCCCGAAGCTATATCCAAAATATCCAGCAAAAAGCCAGGGTAGAAAAGCAAAGCTCAAGTGGTAGAGCACCAGCTGAGCAAGTACAATACTCTTGAGTTCAAACCCCAATATTAGCAAAACAAAAAAGGCAGAGAATATGAATGGCAGCCTCAGTCTACTTCCCTCCCCATTCCCACGGTCTTATTCTCTTTAGCATACCTGACTTTCTTTCACATTACTAGATATGAGGTCTACTAGTCCCAGTGAAGGTCCATAAAGGCATTGTCTTAATGAATCGTTGCTTAAACTCTTTATCCTACCACTAGGTTAGGGTAACATATATTACACTGCATTGAGTGAATTCTACACACACACACACACACACACACACACACACACACACACACACACACACATTTTTGTTGTTACTGTTTTGAGACAGTCTCTCAGTATGTATCCAGGCTGGCCTTAAACTCACAAACTCCCTGAGTTAGATTCCCACGTGCAAGATTACAAATATGGGGCCACTGTCCCCAGTTTGAACTCAACTGTTTATTCAGTTTGCTCAATATTTTGCTAAATACAAAAACATATTCTGGGTGTGGTGGCAAAAGCCTAGCATCCCCGCACTTGGGAGGCTGAGGCAGAGACCAACCTGAGCTATATAGTGAATTTTAGGCCAGCTTGGGCTACATAGCAAGAACCTCTCTCAAAAAAAGAAAAAAACGAAAACAAAACCCATTTCTTAAGCTAATACATAATGTCTATCAAAAGTTATTCCAATATCCACATGTATGAAATCACACAAGACAATCACATTATTCTACATCAAACTGCTTCTAACAGCAGCTCTGAAAAAGACTCAGTGTGAGAACTGCCCAGAAAGCCACTTCCAACTCCAGCACACCAGAAGAGCATCCGCACATGGCAGAACCCAACTCCAGAACACCAGAAGAGCATCCGCACATGGCAGAACCCAACACCACCTCAGACATGGTGGCTAGCCTTGGTAATGAAGGCTGGCTGCAAGGCTCCACATGGAAACCCATTGAGGACCCCACAATGGGGTAGGTAGAGACAAGTTGGTTCCAGTAGGGACGACTTACCTCCTTGTAGTCTCCACTTCTGATGAGTCTGTAGCCTTCAGGGGTATGAAGCTGCACGGTGGTGGTGTTGATTACTTCTATGCAGCACTCATGATCCGGAAAGCTCAGTGGACGCACCCTACAGTACACCTGCAAAATCCACAAAGGCACTTGGGGAAGGCTGGCATTTGCCTGACTATACTTATGATGCCCATCACTCACTCATTCATTCATTCAATAAACATTCAGTTTTTCCACTTAAGAGAGTTATAGAAACAAGTTGCCAGCAGCAAAATGCCACTCAAAAATTATCAAAGACATTAAGGATGAGGAAAAGACTGAATAAACATAAAATCAATTTTCATAAAGCATCAAATGGCAAAGCTTCTCTTCACTATTTCATTGTGCACAAATAATAAAGTCATCCTTTAAAAATAAAATAAAACCTGTTAGCATTCTTTGGTATTGGATGTCAACTGTGAAACTGTTGGCTGAACCTACCACTTAAAATAAAAGAAGAAATAAAGGGAGTGGAGATTTGAGAAAAGCCTTCTAGCTGTATATTGCACCTGGTGAATCCACTTCTTCCTTAAGCAGAAACCACTGTTGTGTGCAGTGGGGTAGGGGTGGTAATTATGCTTCCTCCAAACAAACCAACCCTCCTATCTGCCATTTCACAGAGCACAGAACACCTCAGGTGTGTTAAAGACAGACCCTAGCATGAAGAGGGAAGGGGATCAGCTCAGCCGTCTTTCAACTTGAAAGCAAGTTCCCAAGTCTGAGATTAGTGAAGGACTTGCAATTATGAGAAGGCATAAGCCAAACTGCACTCATATATCAGACTTTATGAAAGCTGGAGTGGGGGCTCTCCTGGAGAAACACCTTTCAGCTCCATGCACAGGTGGAAGAGAACGCATAGCTCAACAAACACTCTCCTTGTTCAGAAAGACATGAGCCCAGCTGAAGATTTTGGACTATTACTCTCTCAGATTATAATCAGTTACAGGTTTACAGTTTTCACAATCAAATTAGCTTTTCCAGGACTAATTAATCCTATAGTGGAACCAAATTTCCCAGCTAACATCAGTCTTTCATAACTTAATGAGCAAACTTAACCAGCTAACTGTACTTAAGACTCCAATCTCTTCCAATCTACTCAAATCTACTTCCAATCTCTTTTTCTTCCCTTCCAAGCATGCAGGGCTGGTTAGGTGAGAGCACTTACCTAGCAAGTGTGAGGCTGGGCTCAAACGCCAGCACCACCGTGCATACATACATACACAAACAAATCAAAAGCACATACTTTAGACAGAAAAGAACTTAGGAAAGATAAACCCCCAGGGAGACCTTACCCCAACTGGGTCTTTCAGGTTAGTTTGGGATCCTTTTTTCACTAGAGGTTTCCGGGGTGTTTTAGCTCGCCTGGTCATAAATAAAAAAATATTCCAGTTCAACACTAACATGCAAAACCTCACATAATTTATACAGTCAACCTTCTTAGGACTTACAAAATATCTCCTTAGCAAGTCCAAATCACTGCACTATAAACAACATAAATAATAATAAACTGTGTTAGAAGAACATGGCACCCAAAAGTAATTAAAATTTGGTTTAGAATATACTTTTGGTATTCAATGTACCCAGTCATTTTATTAATCCTAGGATATAAATAGCTTGTACGTGTTTTTTTGTTTTCTTTTCCTACTGGAGCCTGAACCCAGAGCCCTCAGGACTCTTGTTTGTCTTTTCACTTGGGCTGGAGCTCTAGCAATTGAGCCACACCACCACTTCCAGCATTTTGGTAGTTAGGTGGAGGTAAGAGTCTTACAGGCTTTCCTGCCCAGGCTGGCTTTGAATTGCAATCCTCAGATCGCAGCCTCCAGAGTAGCTAAGATTACAGGCATAAGCCACCTTAGCTTGTACATTTTCATGAGAAACAATTTTATAGTCAAGACAAATCTGATCTAACTACAGGAGAACACAGATTGCGTCTCAGTCTTTACCAAGGTAAGCTGACAATCAATCTCAGTAAATTACAGACATGCACACAGACATACATGTGGGTGACATCTTCCATCAAGATTTGTCTAAAGGCCAGATGTTCATTTCAACAGCACTTGCCCAGCATGCACGTCTGGGTCCCATCCCCAGGGCTACATAACTAAATTAAAATTTAATGGCTTTGTGTGTATTGTATGAGGTCATTCAATGCTCACCCCAAAGGAAATATGGGCCCAAACTCAGTATCTTGCTCTTGTAAATAGAAGCAACAGAAAAAGACACTGACTTATTTCACCATTTTCCTTTTCTATTTATCTACAGGTTGGGTGAACATGTAGCACAAAAATGGGGTGCAATTATTGGCTTAGACAGCACATTACTCAAATAATTCTCCCAATATATTCCTAGGGGAAACAGAAGCCAGTTAGCTCAGGTGTAAGATACTGGGTGGATTTGGGTAAATTCGCCCTTTTTTTTTTTTTTTTGCTTTCTTCTTGTAAAACTAAAGGGATTTTGACGTTGACCTCAGTTGCCAGTGGCATCGACCGCGGAATGAAGTCGATCTTAGACGAGGGCCGGGGCGCCCAGGAGGGGCCGCACGCGGGAGGCGACGACCCTGGGTAGGGCCGGCCCAGGTGGGAGCCGAGGACCGGACCCCGGCCTGCACCCCTCGGGAGGAGGAGGCGGGGAGGCCCCAGGCGGGACCGGCGCGACCGCGGGGACCCCGACTTCGGGCCACGTTTCCCGGCCCGCAAGGCCGAGGCAGGCGGCGGGGACGACGCGGCCGGGGCTCGAACCTGCGCCGAGGTTCCGACTGAGGGGCTGTGGGAAAGGCCCCCGCGACCCCTGAGGGCCCCCGTAACCCCTGGCCCCTGCCAGCCTAGGGTCCCCCGCGACCCCTCGGGTCTCCTGAATCCCTCACCGGCCTGGGATCCTCCGTAACCCCTGCCCCTCCCCGCGACCCCCGAGTCTTCCCGCCGGCCTGGGGCCTCCCGCGACCCCTGACCCCGGGGTCCCACCCCCGCTGAACCCCCGCCCCCTCTGGGACCCCCCGCCGGCCGGACGCCCGGTACTCACGCTGGCTTCATGGCAGCAGGCTCAAGGCGGGCCCAATGCACACGCGGGACAGGACGCCAGGCTGGGTCCGGAGGGCTGAGGAGGGTCCGCAACGCCGCGGGATGCGGGTCTACGGCTGAGGCGCTGAGCTCCGGAAAAGCCCGGCGGCGCCGCTGCTAGCCCAGGTGAGTGCCCGCCCGGCGCAATTCAAACGGACCAATCAGCGCCCGCCTGCGGGGAGGGGCGGGGCCTTGGAGGAGGTGCGTGCAGACCCGGAAAAGGGCGCTGGTCTCCTAGGCGACCGTGGGGGCGAGGCCAACGGGAGATGTCGGAAACCCGAGTGACGCGAGTGATGGGAGACAACGGAGCCAAGCCCTGGAATCCCTGTCCTAGACACGTCCCGGCGGGGACGCCGAGGGCTCCGATCCGTCCCTAGTCGCTCCCTGGAAGCGGTCGTTCTAGCTCTGGAGCACGATCTTGGACTGTTCCGTCACTTCTCGCCCCCCTGAGAACCCCCGGCGGCCTCCCGAGGATCCCGGGCCTTCCCCCCCATTCCTGAGGATGTCTTATTATTGTTGTGGTTGTTGTTGTTGTTGTCGGTGGTGGTGGTGGGGCTTGAACTCAGGGCCTGGGCAATGTCCCTGAGCTCTTTTGCTCAAGCACCACTTCCAACTTCTGAGTAGTTTATTGGCTTTCCTGCCCAGGCTGGTTTCGAACAGGGATCCTCAGAGCTCAGCCTCCTGAGTAGCTAGGATTACTTTCACTAGGGAGCCAGCCACCAGCACCAGGCATAATGACTTTTCTCTATTGCAAAATGGCCAAGGGCTCCCAAAGCGACAAAAGATTTGTAGTTCCCTGTAGAATTGGAGATGGGATTCGGGGAAGGGAGACGTTGGCAGGGAGTAGAACTTGGAAAAGGTTTGGCCTTTACACACACACACACTTTTGAGGTGTTTTATTGGATCCTTTCAGATTATTCATAGCTCCCTTATCCTCCCCCCCCACCCCCCTCCCAAGAAAATCTGGTATTATAAATTTTTGACTCAAATCTGCAATAAAAAATGTTTCAACGGGCTGGGAATGCGGCTTGGCAGTAGAGTGCTTGCCTAGCATGCATAAAGCACACATAAACAGAAAAAGCTGAAAGTGGCACTGTGGCTCATGTGGTACAGTGCTAGCCTTGAGCCAAAGAAGCTCAGGGACAATGCTCAGACCCTGAGTTCAAGCCCCAGGACTGGCCAAAAAAAAAAGTTTCAGTGGAAGGAAGGCTGACACAGTTGTGTGTCTTGCATTTTGACCCAGCACATGGAACAATTGGAAGAATATTCATAGACTCCAGAAGGTCCTGGATTTCATTTGGAGGACTATTGACCCATAGAGGTGATTTCAGGACTCTTCTTTTAGTTTGGATTTTTTAGTGGGAGTAAACCACAGGGGTCTAAATAATAAAACTTGAACCCCACCTAGTGGGAACAAAAAAACCTTATTCCATATTGCAAGCGGGTCACACACCTTCATTTATTCATATGTGTCAATACAAATATATGCTTATTTTTCAATCATGTTCTTTTCTATTGAGAACTGAAAGGATATTTGTTGGTGGTGGTTGTGGGACTTGAACTCAGGGCCTGCTCACTGTCCCTGAGCTTTTTTTGCCCAAGGCTAGCAATCCACTTCTGGTTTTCTCATGGACTTTCCTGCCAGGGCTGGATCCTCAGTCTCAGATCTCAGCATCCTGAGTAGCTAGGATTACTGTGTGAGCCACTGGCACCCAGCTCACAAATATTTCTAGCATGGAAAAAAAAACTATTTCCTTGTGTGGATCCTATCAGTCACCTTCCCTCCTTCCGGGCTTTGACAACTGCTGCTCTGACCCTACAGTCTTTTCCAGAATGTCTCTTCCTTTTCTTTGCTGAGTAGCATTCCACTCTGAGATTGGGGGATCACGAGTTTGAGGCTAGCCTAGGCTATATGTGGAGCTCTTGTCTTAGAGCTTAGAAAAATAAAAAATCACCTGGGGCCTCTGATAAAAATTCAAACTCCCAGTATTGCCCCCATCCCCATCTGCCTTTGGCTGTTAAGTGCCACCAAGTTTCAGCAAAGTTATATGAGCAAACTTTAAGCTGAAAATTATCTTTTGAGGTCCTTCTGTTCTGTGCTTGGGAAGAAGCAAAAGTAAACTTGCAGAAACCTGCTGAATTGAGATCACAGAGTGACCACTGTCTTGCCGGAAACACACATGACTGAGTTAAAGCTTCCCACACAGTTACAAAGGGATCCTGGGCAGCCCTTCTGCAATTACCTCAGAAAGGAATTTCAGGAAAATTCCAGAATTCTTCAGCAGTTGAATCATCTCTATGTCTTCTAGGGCTAAACACCACAGGACCTTAGGACCTTGTTGCTTACTGTCACCTTCCTCCCACACCAACCAGCCTGGCTCCTCTCCCAGCCATCCAGCCTCTTCTCCCAAGTCAGCTCCTCCAGGCTGCCATGGAATCAGCCAGCCACCTGCATGGCCCTTACTGTGGCTGAATTTATTTGTCACGACTGTCTGTCTGTCCAGCCCAAAGGCTGGTCCCACAAGAGAGACCATTCCAGGTTTGTTCAGTCCCACATCCCTGCTTCCTCCAAGGATATCCATCTTCCACTTGCCAAGCACTAAAATGCATGGGCCTGTGTCTCCCACCAGTAAAGGAGTGTGTTGGCCGTGTGACAAGTGAAACAAGACAAACACAGGATAATAAATAATCTTTGCTGTTGTTTCTCTCAGTTGAGGAAAAGTGGACATTAGTGGGCACCAGAGGAATACGTCAGACATGTGGCAGTGGTGTGTGCCACAAGGGCTGGGTGAGGAAATCAGGCTGACGATCAACTAGCCTGTGATGGAAGATGTTAAGTTGTGGTAGCAGCACTGTTCTTCCTTTGTTCCCTCCTTCCTTCCTTCCCTTTTCCTTCCTTCCTTCCTCCCTCCCTCCCTCCTTTTTTCTTCCTCCTTTTTCTTCCTCCTCCCTCCTTTCTTTCCTTTCTTCCCTTTCCACCATTTTGGTGAGACTGGAACTTGAACTCTGGGCCTCACACTCTTGGATGACTTTTGCACTCAAGGTTGACGCTCTACCACTTGAACTACAGCTCCACTTCCAGCTTTTTGGTGGTTCATTGGAGATTGAGTCTCATGGACTTTCCTGCCCTGGTTGGCTTTGAACTGCAATCCTCAGATCTCAGCCTCCTGAGTAACTAGGATTACAGGAATGTGCCGTTGGCACCTGGCTATCGATCGATCGATCAATCTGACTACAAATTCAAAATCCATAATGATACGGGAGGGGCACTTGAAGACAGAGTGAACTGTGAATGGAAGCCTGCCCTGCTCTTTCCCTTCCCTAGGCAGAGGTCCCATCATTCTGGAATGTGTACCCAGCACTTCCCCTTCCCCAGGCTTGAGATCCCCCACCTTGCTTTCTCAAGTATCCTGAAGCAGAGTCCAGGCTCCTAGGAAAGCTCTTGGGGGAAACTTGGCTGCATTCATTTCTTTTTTTTGGGGGGGGCGGTCCGGTAGAGGGACCTGAACTCTGGGCCTGGGCGCTGTCCCTCAGCTCTTCAGCTCAAGGCTAGCGCTCTACCACGTCAGCCACAGCACCACTTCTGGTTTTTTTCTTTTTTGCTTATGTGGTGCTGAGGAACCGAACCCAGAGCCTCAGACATGCAAGGCAAGCGCTCTACCACTGAGCCACCTTCCCAGCCCCGTCTTTTTTTTTTTTTTTTTTTTTGGTCAGTCCTGGGGGTTGAACTCAGGGCTTGGGCACTGTCCCTGAGCTTCTTTTTGCTCAAGGCTAGCATTCTACCACTTGAGCCATAGCACCACTTCTGGCCTTTTCTGTTTATCTGGTGCTGAGGAATCAAAGCCAGGGCTTCATGCATACTAGGCAAGCACTCTACCACTAAGCCACATTCCCAGCCATCCATTTCTACTTCTAAAGAGTGGTATAAAACCCCCAAGGGCACAGTGGTAGAGCGCTTGCCTTGCATGCTCGAGGCCCTGGGTTCGATTCCTCAGCACCACATAAGCAAAAAGAAAAAAGCCGGAAGTGGCGCTGTGGCTCAAGTGGTAGAGCGCTAGCCTTGAGCTGAAGAGCTGAGGGACAGCGCCCAGACCCAGAGTTCAGGCCCCACTACCGGACCCCAAAAAAAACAAAAAAAAAAAACCCCAAGGGCAGCACCCTTAAACTGTTTCAGATCAATTTAACCCTTATTGAAATAGTAATCATCTGTCTGTCCAAGACAACCTGAGCCCAGTTCCCCTTTAAAATCACATTTACAGAATCAGTGCACACCTAGAGAAATCTCTCCCCCTAAACACCTGCTTAGCACGAACCCACTTCAAAACTACCAAGGCGGCCAGGTGCTGGTGGCTCATACCTGTAATCCTAGCTTCTCAGGAGGCTGAGATCTGAGGATGGCAATTCAAAGCCAGCCCAGGCAGGTAAGTCCGTGAGACTCTTATCTCCAATTAACCACCAGAAAACCTGAAGTGGCGCTCTGGCTCAAGTAGTAGAGCGCTTGCCTTGAGCTGACAAGCTCAGGGACAGCATCCAGGGCCAGAGTTAAAGCCCCACAACTGGAAAAAAACAACTACCAAGGCATCAATCACAAGGACCACATTTTTGCCATTGTAAGGCACAGTTTTTGGTGGCTGGGGTGTTGCCAGTTCACTGTGGTGCATGCCATAGACAGCATACGGCTGAATCATGTTTCTTTTGTATGTAATTCTGGCTCGGGATTCCGATACAGAGCAGCTGAGAAATAAATTATGTTGCTGAGGCAGAAGATGACACACAGAAGCAGAGCTCCAGCTATCTGTGGGAAGGAGAGAGGCCTGGAGGAAGCCAGGAGCCACTCCTTCCTTAGGTTCTTGTCCAGCAGGATGGCTTCCATCTGCATGTGTGTGGCCAGGATTGCACACACGTGAAACAGCTGGTGACTGTGCCCTGCGTCAAAGACAGAGAAGGCCTTGGAGGTCACCAACCAAGAAGCAAGGGACCGAGCACACGCCTGTAATCCTAGCTACTCAAGAGGCTGAGATCTAAGCATCATGGTTCAAAACTAGCCCAGACTCATCTCCAATTAACCAGAAAAAAAAAGAAAGAGCTAGAACTGGAAGGTGTGCCAGGCTTGAGCGAGGGCGGGGGGGGGGGGGGGGAAGCTTAGCGAAGATCATGAGTTCAAGCCCCAGTACAGCTCAAATACACAAAATGCTCAGAACAGGCAAAGCCAGAGAGGGAAGAGACTCATTTAACAAACTGCCAATTTTCTTAAACAAGCAATGAAATGTATCTAGTTACTAAACATTTACATTACACTTAACACTCAAAGTATTCGTTTTCAGATATTACATGACTCTTGACTATTCTATCTACACTGACATGTTCAATGTGTCACGTGACATGTTCATTCTATCACGTAACATGTTGGACCCAGCTCACTCTTCGTCCACAGAGGGGTTGGGAGCAAGCAGGGACGTGAGGGTTTTGTGGCTGTGAGAAAAGCCCAAGGTCCCAGGCCGAGAGATCATATTGGGTGATAACCAGATGTAGGATAAAGAAGCCTCCCACATTATGGGCCATACTATATCTCTGCAAAATTCCTATATTCTTTGTAATACAGGAGTTTGAACTCAGTGCCTTGTGCTTGCTAAACAGGTACTCTACCACAGAGCTATGCCTCTAGTCCTGCTTTTTCACTGGCTATTTTGAGTGAGGGTCTTGCTTCCTGCCCAGGTATACACTTTAGCAGTGATTCCCTCCCCCTGCTTTAGGCTTCCTGTAAGTGCTAAGATCATAGGCCCATGACTTGAGTTTAGGGTGGAAGGGATTCTCTGACTTTGCTGCCCCTGCTGGCCTTGAACCATGGTCTTCCCATTCTCAACCTCCTAAGGAGCAAGGATTCCAGGCCAGAGTCACAGAGCCATGCTTGCTGAAGTCCTAGTCCCAATTTGTCAGAATGTGACCAAGAAGATGGCCTTTAAATAACAATGATTGGGGTTATAACCTAGGGAGCGCATCAGAGTGCTCCAGAGTGCATGGCCCACTGGCTCCCCCTCTGGCTCTCTCTTCCCCTGGCTCTCCCTCCTCCCCTAGGTGCACTAGGAGTACCTCCTGGCCTCTGCCAACATACCCTGTCCTCACATGCCAGGAGAGAAGTGCTCAGGAGAGCCTCTGCCTGCTCTTCCTGGCCACCCTGCCACCACCAGCCACCAGCCAGCCCCTCCCCCACCAGGAACCACCCACACACACCCTACCACCCCGCCTCACCAATGTAGTCAAAGCGACCTGGGGCCAGGCGCTCTGGCAGGTGTGCAGAATAGAAGAAAGAGGCCAGGAGAGTCATGAGCATGTGCTTCTGGTGGTACAAGACAGCTTCATTCTGGGCACTCTCCCCCGGGAACAGGAAGAGCTGTGGAGTGTGGGGAAGGAAACAGAGGTGTTGAGAAAAGGGCAGGCTTCACCAAGCCCCTCCTTTCTCAGCACGCATACCCCCACCCCCAGCACGGTACATGGATACAAACTCTACCACAGGTCTGAAGCCTGGAGTGGGAGGTTGCTCAGAGCCAGGCAGGAAAACCTGTGAGACTCATCTCCAATTAACCAGCAAAAAGCCAGAAGTAGAGCTGTGTTTTAAGTGGTAGAGCACCAGCCTTGAGCGAAAACACTAAGGGACAGTACCTAAGCCCTGAGTTCAAGCCCCAGTACTGGTATACACCCACCCACACACACACACACACAGCTCTCAGATCTCAGATCTCAACCTCCTGTGTAGCTAGGATTACAGGTGTGAGCCACTGGCACAGGCCCCCACCTATCATGACTTTCCTTCACATCTTCTTCAGTGCGACAGGTGGGTTGGTGATGATTGATGCTACACAATGTGGCCTTGTCACCCCAGGCAGTTCTCACAGCCCTGTGTGTGTGTGGGGGGGGGGGGGTGTGACTGTCCTGGCCCAATGATGAGCAGTGTGCACTAGGGATCTGTCTCCAGGACATACCATGGAGCCCCATGCTGCCCACCCTGCCCAGCCCGCTGAGCATTCTCCCTTCCAGGGCCTCTGAGTCCACCCTGTCTCGAACCACCCTGCTGGTGCCATCAGGCAGCACCTGGGCCCTTCCCCTATGTGCCCAGCACCATCCTCCAAGCCCTGTCCTTGTCCTTACCCGGTAGAGGATGGGGAGGGAGTCCCAGGTATAGGGAAATGCAAAGGCCAGGATGCGAAGTAGCTTGCAGAGCCGGGGCTTCTGGATCTCAAGGAACCTGTAAGGGAGAGAAACAGAAGTGAGGCGAGTTGCAGGAAGTTATATGTGCATGCACATGCACATGCACATATACACATATACACATCCGTGTACATGCACACACTGGGAACAACAGAGGACCAGCACTTTCCCACAATCTCCCATGGCCAGCAGCCTGCCCAGCCTGCCTCTTCCACTCCCCTGCCCTGGGGAAATGGCCAGACTCTTGATGCCTGGAGAACCAGGTCCTGGCGCCAGGAGAAGAAACATTGCCCAGACCAATTCAGGGGGATGCTGGGCAGAAATTGCAAGGACCAAGTGCCTGAGCCCTTGCAAGGAGCTTTTGAGATACAGTAACCATGGGAACAGGGGGGTGGGGGGAGCAGAGACCCCAGGGAGCATACTCCCCAGAGATGGGGACCAACTAACCATCATGTCCACACAGAGATGCCAGCTGGGGAAACAAGGAAAGCTGGGGCCTTTCCTCTCACTTCCCCATCTACCTCCCACTCAGAGGCACAGGAAGCCAGCACTGAGAAGCCTGGCAAAGAGAGGCAGGGACTTCAGCACAGGGCATTGTGGTACCCCGCTGGGGCTAGAGGGGGGCAGCAGCTGAGGGCATGGGAGCCAAGTAGCATGAATGGCAAAGTGAACACCAGGAGGACACAGATGGACCAGGAGACGCCCTACAAAGATGCTATAGTTCTGAATGGAGGTCCAGGCTCAAGGAAGGCCTCACACACCTAGTGGAACTGCCAGATGCGATGCTACCCCATGTGTCAGGGACAGCACCCACATCAGTGGTGCAGTACCAGGGCTGGCTCCACCCTCAGCACGCCAGAGGCCCAGCTTGAGGCAGGCTGTACTCTCTTTCCTTCCTTCTTTGCTTCCTGACTGGTCTCACTATGTACTCCATGCTGGCTTCAACTTTAAGATCTCCCTGCCTCTACTTCCTAAGTGCTGGGATTACAGCCTTGTACCACCACATCTGGCCCAAGCCAGCCCTCTCTCCTGCAAACCCCATCTGCTGCTCCAGCTCAGGGTCCTGTCCTGGCCAGGCTGTTCAAGTCACTGGGACAAGCACCTAACTGTGCACCTGCCTTGGTCTACAACTCTCAGCAAGGGAGCTGGCCAAGACTCACATCTGGACAGATGGAGAACTTCCTGAAGGGCAGATGTCAGGTCTGGTCAGGTTCAAAGACCCCCAAACACAGCCCAGACATAGGTCTGAGGGCCAGTATCCAACCTAGGGTGCTTTGCCCAGTCACCAGGGAAAGCCAGCCTGTGGGAAGACCTGGTAACCAGAACGGGAGGCAGCTGGGGAACAGAAGCTGCTGTAAAGAGGAGGCCGCTGTGGAAGTGGGGCTGCTATGGGCTCTGGGGTGAACACAGCTGCTGCTGCTTCCCTCTCCATCTGTCAGGACAAACGGACAGGGTGTGGGTACAGGCAGAGCAAAGCTCAAGGGAGGAGTTGCAGGTCCTCCACCCGTCCCTCCCACAGCCTTGATTAAGCCATCCAGCCAGACACAGGCAAGGCAGTGTGGTTCTGGATTTTACAGGGAGGAAAACATGTGTTTGGATCCCGCCTCTGCCTTTCCCCTCATACCCAATAGGCCTGGATAAGTCACTTCAGCATCCTCAGCTGTGAAGCCCAGTGGCTGTCCTTCCTTGCCATGTGGTGGCTTTGATGACACAAGGCCCACGAGTTTGACACTGGTTGAAGCCCAGCTAATAGGACAGCTTTGAAGACAGTACATGGGGAGCAGCCCATTCGCACCTCACAGCTAGGTAGGAGCAGGAAGGGATGGTTCTCTGCCTCCACTCTCCTGGTCTAGTTGATGGATGCAGCCACCTGCAGCAGCCCCCATGCACAGACACCACCTGCCATTTCCAGGGACAGAAGCTCACTCTTATATGTGCTGTCCTGGTGGCTGCTTGTACACGAAGAGACCTGGCTCTGGCCAGCGAGGGCCATCTTCCAAAGCACAGGCTTTCTGCAATGCACACAACATGTCGCCCAGCCTGAAAAAGTGCTTCCCCAGGGGAAAAGAGACCAGCCTTCCCAGCTGCAAAGCCGAGTCTACATGGGGGAGGAAAGGAGAGAAAAGCAGAACAGGAGAGAGACAGCAACAGAGGCAAAACAGCCAACAGAGGCAAAAAAGGCAGAAGAGACATTAAGGAGGCTGCCACAACCAGGAGGACCCACTTCAGCATCCCACCACAAGGTGTCGCCACAGCCAGAGAGTCCAGGAGCCAGGGGCCAGGGCGGAGCAACAGGCTGGGCTATGTGTAAAGGCCCAGCAAGGTGACAGGGACGCTAGGACCTCTCTGCCAAAACCAGGGTGAGGAAAGCTGGACTTGCAGAGACGCCCCCTTAACAGCGAGTGACTTCGGTAAATCTGCAACAAGCTGGACAGATTAGAAAGGGGGTTCTGGATCTATTGACAGAAACGACAGGCCACTTGGAAAGGGAATTCTTACTAGAAGTGCACAGGTGTGCCTCTGTATGTGAGTGCAGGTGCATGTGTGTGTATGCATGTGCACGCACGAATGTACTTGTGTGTGTTGTTTTGTGATTGTGTGGGGCAGTGAACTTGTATTTCCACATGCCAGCCCAAGGCCCTGGTGGCTCAGGCTCCCCCAAATCCAGTATTTAGGAATCACATCACTGAGCCTCTCTTCCAGTGTCAGCCCCCAGCCCACGCTGTGCCAGCTGGGACCCTTTTCGCCCTCTGACATGACTCTCTCAGGAAGTCCACTCTCTACCTGGATGAAGGTCAATCTTTCTCCTGACAGCAATGATGGCCAGGATATTTCACTCAGCAACCCAGGTGCCAGACAGATGGCACATGCTGACAGGCAATGTGTAGACAGCATGGCACAAGTAACATGGCTAAGGGAGCGAGGATGCCTTGCTGGGCTTCAGGACAACAGACTCAAAGAGGCCAAGGCCACGGTCACCCACCACACAAGAGAGGATATGAGCTCTTCTGGACTCCCCTCTCGTCACATCATGGGACAACCTCTTCCTCAGTGTGGAGCATGGACAGGGCAGAAGTCAAGCCCAGGGAATTCTCTTCTAGTGGTGAGGATGAGGAGAGGGAGGTTACTGTTTTTCATGAGCAAAGGGTGGTACTCAGAGGACTACAGGATACTCCAACGCCCCAGTCAACCCTTGGGCTGCTCTCCTGCTGCCTTCCACGTTTTCTAGCAGCTCCTGGCTTCTTGAGAGCATCTCATGTACAGGCATGGTCACCCTTGTCCAGACTGCTCACTCCACCCAAGAGGCCACTCCAGTGGATGCCTACATCTCTCTATCTTCTCCTGAGACCACTTCCCAGGTCCCTGTGAGTCTAAGCAGGAGCTGTTCTGCATTGGCATCACCTGCTTCCACTTATGTCCTGCCACATCCTCAAGGAAAGGGCTCCGGAATCTGAGGGCCAGGGTAGCAATTCTCTCTTTTAATTCCCACCCTTCATTTGGTACCTGGAGCCTGGTAGACCTGTGAGGAATGTTGTGTGTGTGTGTGTGTGTGTATGGATGGATGGATGATGGACGGAGTGAGTGGGTAGATAGGTAATTCATAGATAATTTTGGTGCATGGATTGATAGATGGATGGATAACTGATGGATGGAAGTAGATAGGGATGGATGATGAATGGGTAAATGGATGGAGGTCGATGATGGGTGATAATGGATGGATGGATAAGGGGTGAGTGGATGATTAGATAGATGATGGATGATTGACAGATGGATGACTGATGGACAGACAGAGGTAGATGATGGATGGACGGATGGATGGATGGGTGGGTGAAGGTAGGTGGATGGATGGATGGATGGATGGGTGGATGGATGGTGGATGGATGATTGATGGATGGATGGAGGTAAATGGATGGATGATTAATGGATGGTTGGATGGACCAGGTAGTTGATAGATGGATAATTGATGGGTGGAGGTGGGTAGATGGATGATGGATGGATGGATGGATGGATGGATGGATGGACGAAACAGCCACAGGGGTGCTCTACATATAAACAGAAATAACCTCTTTGATTGTCAAGGTAGGGGAGCCCCCAAATGTAGACATGCAGGAGATTCCTGGCCCAGCTGTCAAACAAATTTGTCAAAATGCACCAGGCATGCCAAACCCAGAATACTTTCCATCCCTGCCCAATCAGGGAGGCCTCCAGCAACCCTGATGGCTTACACGTGATTCACAGGACTTAACAGAAAGTAGCAAACATCCAAGACTTTGCCTTCCAAGATGTTTCTTCCACACCCATTAATGCCTCTGCTCCTTCACCAGTCATCAGCTCCCTAAGCCTCATTTCCAGACACCAGGGCCTCGTGGTCCTGGGTTGCCAAACGGACAGAGTAGTATCTGGTCCTCGTGAGGCTGAGGACAAAGCTTCACAAACTCCAGCATTGTGCCACCTAGGTCTGGAATCTACTCTCATGTAAACCTTTCCTCCTCTCCCCTCTTCTGTTTCCTCTGGGTGGATATAGGCAGGTTGGGGCCAGCATTCCCAGAGCTGTTTAAGGTTCACTCTCCTCCCCAAAACCAGTTTGTCAGGTTTGTGAAACTTCCCAACTGCTCCTCAGTCCCACAAAACCTATCACCCATGCCCCACGTTTTCCTGAGTGGAAGGATGAACAGTAGGAAGCTGAGACAGTGACTCAACTCATTGACCTTGGGGTGGAGGCAGACATCTGAATATACCCACCAAGCACTCGGAAGAGCACATCTTATTTACTGGCAACAGCTCTGCCTACACATCACAACCCTGCCACGCGTGTGCCAGGCATACTGCCCTTGTTCCCCTTCTCAGAGGTCAATGTCAAGACCCAAGTTCAAGTTCCAGGAAGGCGAGGGATGGGGCTAGATAGAGCCAGAAAGTTGACTTGTCCAGGCCAAAGTTCAGGACACTTTTACTCAAAAGGAATTAAGGCTGAGGACCAATGGCCTTCACCTGTAATCCTAGCTACTTGGAAGACTGAGAACAGGAGGATTGTGGTTCAAGGTCAGCCCAGGCAGAAAAGTTCTCAAGGCTCTTTCTTAACGCGTAGCTGGGCACAGTGGCATTTTCCTGCTATTCCAAGTTGTGTAAGAGACCAAGATCGGGAGGATCCTGGTGCCAGACCATCCTGGGCAGAAAAATCTCCGAGTTTCTGACTCCATGGAGGGAGGCTGGAGGTGGTGATTATGAACCTGTGGTCCCAGGAAAGCCTAAAATAGGTGGATCATAGTCTAGGTGCATGTGTGGTTATTTACAATAACCAGTGAAGAAACAAACAGGGAGAGAGGCATGCCTCTGTGGTAGAGTGCCAGCCTAGGAAGTGTAAGGCCCTGAGTTCAAACCCCAGGACTACTGAAAAAGAAGAATTTCAGAGCATTTGACCAAATGTGGGATTTTTTCCAAGCAGAAGGTGGTACGTGGTTGAACAGATGACACCCATGGTATCTATCAGTAGGGGAAACTGAGTCCCAGGCTCCCAGGAAGCTTTACACCGAGCTTGCCTCTTCTGCAGACCTCCCATAGGGTCCCAAGCCTGGCTCACCTTCCTCCCGTCCTGCCCAAGCTCAACACCCCAGTACCTGGAGTAGCAGGAAAGGCCGGTGCTCAGGATGGTGTTCAGCACAGCCAAGGCCACGTAGTACTCATGGAAGGTGGTGCGGACCAGCCCGTCTGGGAACGTGTAGGCCGAGTATGCAATGGCTGAGCCTGGGAGAGGAAGACTGGCTTCAGGAACAGAGCTGGGCCCAGGCACCGCAGAGACCCCGGGAAAGACTGTCCCCAAGCTGGTGCCTCAACTCTTGAGTGGGTTGTCTGGGACCCCCACCCTGTTCTACCAGGTGGGATGGGCCAGACCCAAGTGCAAGTTTATCCCGTCCTGGCCTGTAAGAGTTGACTGTGAAAAGTTTCAGAGTTCTTGTAAACCTACATTAAACCCAGCCACGGTTACAAATGAACCCTTCATGACCTTGCGATGAACCAAATCACGACAGCAGTCTTAAGACTTCCGTGCAACTACTACATCGTGGCACACCCCTGCCCACCTCTGCACCCTGTGACCTCATGCTGGGAACTGGAAGGCGGCCCCAAAGGAGCATTTACACCATAGAAATTGGCACATAGTGCCCACAGCCCAGGCCTGCTGACTCTGCCAGCCCATAATAGACAAGCTCTTGACAGGGCCCTGAGGAAGCTGGACATGGGCCCTGGTGTCATGGAGGATGAGGTCCCCACAGGGCCCAGGGGGTCCTCATGACTCTTCTGCAAACCCAGCAAAGCCTCTAGTGCACTGACCGAGGGCCAGTGGGCAAGACACAAGGCAGGTCCCAGGGCTGCTCAGGATCCACCTACCCAGGCTGAAAAGGTTGACAGCACCGTAGTCTAGGAAGTAGCAGATGTGCCGGGCGTTCTTGGACATGGAGCTGAAGGTGTGGGCGCAGCTGGATGCCAGCGGGTACACGCAGCTGGTGCACATGTACACGAGCACGGGCCACGAGTAGCTGTCATTCTGGATGTCTGTCATCCACAGCATGGTCACAAACCTCCACATGAAGAACCTGGAACCCAGTGTGGGCCTCAGCCTCCCCAGACTCCTGCCCATCACCTCCACTCCACTGCGGTGATCGTCAATCCCCAGTTCTCAGGATGGTAAAAATGCCACATGCCAAGATGGCATGAGGAGCCTGGTCTGACCCGAGCGGCAGTGAGCTGGGAGTGGGCAGGCAGCGTGGGGCAGAGCCTTTAGGTTCATCTAATCCAGTCCCCTCCCGAGCCACCATGCTGGCGTCTCTCCTAATGCATCTTTCCAGTGCTCGCCCAGTCTCCCCTAGCTTCCCTCCGAGGATGGAGACGCTCACGGCCTCCTCAGAAGTAGAGCCTGGAGCAGTCAGAGCTTCTCCAGTTCTGTCTCAGATCTTCCAACCTATGACCCCCATGTATATGGGGTCCGGCCCTCGCTGCTCCTCGGTTCTACGAACTGCTCCTTTTCTCACCAAAGATCCCTCCAAAGGCTGGAGGACATCACTGGACCCCACAGCTTAAACTATTTGTACAAGATGTAGCCATATTGTCCAAGCTGTCTCTCAACTCTCAGTTCTCCCGCCTCAGCTTCCCTAGTGCTGGGATTACAGGTATGTACTGCCATACTAGGCAGTCGTGGGCCTTGAATGCAGAGCCTGGGCTCTGTCCCTGAGCCTCTCTGCACTCAAGGCTAGCATTCTGCTACTTGCATCACAGCACCACTCGCGGCTTTTTCTGTGTCTGTGGTACTGAGGAATTGAACCCAGGGCTTCATGCATATAGGCAAGCACTCTACTACTAAGCCCCGCAAGCAGACTTTTTATGTAAACAAAATTTAACACAGCCAGTGGCCTTCTTGAGCAGAACTTCAATGCCAGCCTGCCCAGGCGATAGCCCCTGGACTTGTTGAGCTTCCCTAAAAGGATTACCCCACTCCACCCCCTAGCTTTTGTCTCTTCCACTGGGTGGATGATGCAGGAAGAGAGGTGGAGTGATCTGGTGGCTTTGTCGCCAGGGCCTCTAAAGGCCTGCCATGCCTCAAAGGGGAAGGGACAGAGCAGGCTGTCAACCCAGAGCAAGCCATGAAAATCCAGAGACCTTTGGCAACCCTACCTCAATCCATGCCTAAAGCTTATTCCCCGGCAGACCCAACCACTCCCCTTCTACAGGATGCTCACAAGCACCCATGCAGGGACACCCCCCCAATCCAGTGCAGAGCCACAGGGCTCCCTCCCCCACCCTCATCTGGGGGTAGGAGGGAGGGAGGGACTGGTGAGGTGGGTGGGGCAGGAGGTTACCAGAAGGGCAGCAAGTGAGTCCAGATGTTGAGCGTCTCATTGTTCATTTGGAAGAGGCTGAGGATGCAGGCAGTGGCAGAACTCTGCGGGTGTCGGTAGCCGAAGAGAATGCCCTGCTCATGAAACACCTACAAGGAGATGCCCGGGGGGGGGGGGGCCTGGGTTAGCCGCAGGTGGCCGGAGGTCTGGGGAACGATGGAGCCTCCCACCCCCACCCCACCTCACCTCTCTTCTTCCCTTCGAGGAGCTTTTGTAGCTTGCTGTCCTCCGAGCAGTCTGTCTCCAGCCAGCCAGAGGAGGGAACCCAGCCTGCCTTGGCATTCCCAGATCATTCACTCCCGGCATGAATGTTGCCCCCTCTGCCTGGGGCCCACAGCCCGGTGTTCAGATGCCTTTGCGGTTGTATAACATAGATGTTGTCTGTCTGAGCCAGTGAGCCCCAGATGTCAGGGGCTGTGGGAGAGGGGGCGAGCTCTGCAGAAGAAGGCCCCGGGGGCCAGGTATATGCACAAGATGCTTCACAAAGGCCTTTGATGACACGGACCCATGATGCTGTCAGCTTGGACTGAGGCAGCAGGAGACTGGTCCCAGCTAGGGCGGTGACCTCTGACCTCTCCACCCTGGCAGCCTACTCTGCCAGTCTACCCCAAAACACTCCCAGCAAGAAAATTGGATTGCTCAGGTAAGACACAAGGTGAAGAAAAATGGGGTGGAAACTCCGCTCCTGCCATGGTTGTACCATGATGGTGGCATTTGGGGCTGTTTCTGTCTTCATTGTGCAGAAGCAGCCTATGTGCTGGTTCACTGGTGTGCTGTGTGGCACCTCACACTGCCTGTGTGGATAAAAGAAGCCAGGCACTGGTGCTCACAGCTGTAATCCTGCTACTCAGCAGACTGAGATCTGAGGATCGGGGTTCAAAGCCAGCCCAGACAGAAAAGTTTGTGAGACTCTTATCTCCAATTAATCACAAAAAAAACCCACCAAAAACCAAAAAATCAAGCCTGGAAGTGGAGCTGTGGTTCAAGTGGTATAGTGCTAGCCTTGAGCACAAAAGCTGAGGGACAGTGCCCAAGATTGGCACATGTGTGCCCACCCGCACGTGTGCACACGCATACAGACTAGACAAAACAGTAACAAAGATGGCCCGGTGCCTTTCCCCCAACATAAACCTTCATTTTACAAAACCTCTGTTTATGAACCCAAATTGCCAGTACTTAGATCTAGTCTGCTCTGTCTAAGAAGCTCCGAGCAGAGCAAAAGGAGATGAAGTCTATTCCTCCTGCCCCGCCAGTCACAGCCACGTTTTCGGCACAAATTACCTTGCACAAACAAGAGTCACATCTCACCCGACAATGACACACATGAAAACAGTTTTGTATTCTACACCCAGCTCAAACCCCAAAGGCAAATGGCAACCATCTCCCGAGCACTGGGAAACCAGAATTCAGCTCTAGGTGCCCCAATGTTAGCAGGTACCTGCTTATTTGCACAGTGGGGTTGATTTGTAGACCCCACTTTGCACTCCTGGTAGCAGGCTGGGCAGTTTGGAGTGAGAGGAAATCAAATCTGGGGCAGCCTATCATTAAGCAGCAAGAAAGCCGGCACTCTGGGTAGAAGGGATCATCAGCCAGGCTCCGTCTTCCGTGCCCACCACAGGCCCAGCCTGTGACAGGCTGCCTGGCAGAGCAAAGCTCCTGCGCACCTGCTGGTTGATGCCTGGAATTCCACCACAGCAGTTGAAACTCTTTGGTTTTGCTGGCTATTAAACTAAAAGTCATCCGGGGAAAATAATAGAGTATTTCTGCCCGGTGGTAAGCAGCAGAATTTGACAGCAGCTGCAGGGGAAGGTAAGAAGGGGGACAGGGAGACTGCAGGTACTATTAGTGTCCAAATCCCACTGAATCCTGAGCATCACGCTGTAAAGAAGAGGCGTCCATTATCTATACTTTGCAAAAAAGGGATCTGAGTCCTGCGGAGGTCAGGCCACTTAGCTAAGTCGCTAGCAGCAGAAGTGAAGGTGAAAGCCAAGCGCAGAGCCAGGATGCATCTGCTCATGTTGCTGTTCCTCGCAGCTGCCAAGGAGTCTCTGGAGTGATAGAATGGCTCATGTCCTGGGTTGTGGTGTCTCATGGGCTTCTCCAAGCCTCAGCTTCTTCCTCCTCAAATTCATACACTGAAGCCCTGACCCTACAAACGTACCTCAGAATGCAACTGCACCTGGATTTAGATCTCCCAAGAGGCAACTGAGTTCAAGAGCGGACATTAGAGGTGGGTCCTCATCCAGTCCGCCGATGTCTGCACAGGGAAAGGTGGAGGTGCAGAGAGGCAGAATAATAATATTCAAAATAATTATCTTTTTTATTCGCCAATCCCGGGGGTTTTAACTCAGGGCCTGGGTGCTCTCCCTGAGTTTTTTGCTTAAGGCTAGCACTCTACCACTTCCAGACTTTTCTGTTTACGTTGTACCGAGGAATTGAACCAAGGGCTTCACGCATGCTAGGCAAACACTCTATCACTAAGTCACATTCCCAGCCCATATCTTTTTTTCTTTTGCATCGAGGATGAGCATACGATCTCGTGCATTCTAGGCAAGGGCTGTACCACATCGCTATACCACTGTCTTTTTAGCTTTCCTTTAAACCCCTAAATATTTGATCTTTTGTTAGACAAACAATAGAAAACTTTGAGGGCAGAATTCAACCACAATTCAAAAAAAAAAAAAAAAAGAAGACACTTAAAAGATATGAAGGGAATCTACAAGGCCTCTTAGATGTTACCACGAGATCAAACCTTACAATTGTGGATATAGAAGGAGAAGAAATATCAGCTAAAGGTTTAGAAAACCTATTCAATAAAATAATAGTAGGAAAAATTCCACAACCTTGAGAGAGTTATCTGTGTGGCAGGCACTTACAGAACTCCAAACACTCCAGACATATTACAGCTAAAACATTAATTACACCAAATAAAGAAACAATATTGAGAACTGCAAAAGAGGAGAGACACGTAACTTACAATGGCAGATCCATTAAAGTAACAGCAGATTTCTACACTAAATGCAAGGAGGGCATGGAAGGATATAATTCAAGTCCTGAAAGATGATTACCAAGCTAGATCACTATACTCACTGACGCTACCCTTCTGTAATTGAGGGAAAAATAAAAGCATTCCATAATGCAAATCGAAACAATGCTGAGATTCCATCTCACCCCAGTTATATTGACCAACATTTTGAACTCAAACAACAAATGCTGGTGGGGATGTGGAGGAAAAGAAACCCTACTGCACTGCTGGTGGGAATGTAAACTAATATTGCCACACCACATACACTTGGTTGAAACTTTTGGAATGAAAGGTTCTGGACAGGAGTGGAGTCTGGCATAGACTCAATCCCCAGGCATCCCCCAGGAGTTGGTAGAGAACTGGATTCCCTAAAAAAGACAATCTGGTCAGACTTAACCCGTTGTTCTCTGAGAAAGAGAAGTTCCAGTGTGACTGCTGCTCACCACAGTGACCCAGGGCCCAGTGGCAGGATGCCTGCCCTGTGCCCTGACAAGTCCCACCTGGGAGAGCGTTTGTCCTGCCTCCAGGCCAGTTCAGGCCTGCCATTGTATACAACTCTTGTTTCCTCCTCTAACAAGCAGCTCAGTATCCAACCACCATTGGAACCCAGTCCGAGAGGCACAATGGAGAAGAAGCTGCCGAAGCAAGCGTTTGGAAAGGAGCAGAGATCACAGCAGGCAAAGCAGCCATGAAGATGTGTCTGCAAGGAGTCCTTAGCTGGGTTCAGCAAAGAGAGGCCAGCGCAGGTGGGCAGAGCACTTCCATAAAGCTGCCTGTGGTGGATAGATGGCTTCTGATTTGACATCGACAACAGAATAAGGGACTGCAAGTTCAATGAATAGTCTCTGGCCAGAGAAACAAGGTCAAACGCTTAAGTTTCTGCACTTCCAGTGGTTCCTGGTATTTCCAGCTGAGTGGACATCTTTCTGTGACCAGTGGGTGTCACGCCGCCACCTGCGGAGTCTGCGTGAGAGATTGTGTTGGACAAAGAGCTTCAAGGAAGCATGCCCCCAGGAAGGGGGTGTTGGTTCAAGGCTTCCCATACACTTGGCTGCACCTTTATAGCCTCTATCTTTATTCTTACTATATTCTTCTTGGCTGTACATTCGTTGCCTTTATTCTCATTTTGGCTATTTTTCTATTGATCCGCGAACAGAGCATGTTGTATTTTTTCAGTCCAATAGAGATGGCTTCTCTAAGTAATAAAGACTAAGGCCAAAGATTAAATGTGGCCAATGCCTCAATCAATCATCTGATGTGACGTTGCCTCCAAAAACTCCTACAACTTCACAAGCGGTTTTACAGCTCACGCATAGTAAATATAGAGACTTAAAATTTCTAGATATGTCCAACAGACAAAATCAATGAATTAAACTAAGTTAGAAAGAGTTATCCTAGTAGTTTAGAGAGTTCTAAAAAAGAAGAGACCTTTGATTATATAAGAAAAAGAAAGATTCTCCCAACAGTTATGATTAAGTTTAGTCCAACTTACGTTATAGGGAATAGATGGTGTTTTCACACAAAATATAAAGTTAGTAACATATTTCCTAAACCAACCAAGAACCATTTCCTTATACAGGAGCTTATAAAGATGAAATTAGTTGGATAAAAATAAAATTAAAAAGAGTATAATGTAAGTACAGCCCTGTCTTAGGTGTGTTAATTATTAAACATAAAAAAGGCTGAATAGATGACGTATTCTATTAAACAATATGCTAGACTTGTTTCGCACCACTTATCTTAAACAGTTGGTGGGATAGTCATTAATTTTCATGTAATTCACCAATGCTTTGCCTTTAAAAAAATTGATTACGTGCTTAAATAAACAAAGAATCTATGTCACAATCACACACTGTATAAAAATGTTAACTCTCCTCAATAAAGATACACTCAGATGCAACTCTTTTGAGTCTGTGTCTGTTTGTCACTTCGCCGACTCCTTTGCCCACCTATCCCGAGATCCCTGTCCCGTCGGTCCCAGTGCTCCGGCCGAGCTGGTCCGTCGCATAATATAACCACTCTGGAAAGCAGTCCGGAGGTTCCTCAAAAAACTAAACATAGATC